GATAGTAAAATGTTAATAAAGTAATAATGGGGGGGGGGGGGGTGACATGTCTCCAATGTCTCCAATGTCTTTTGTCTTTTTTGAAAAGATAGGGTGCAGAGACATGTCCTGGAGACATTGGAGACATTGGAGACACAGCTTTTGGAGACATTGGAGACATTGGAGACATTGGGGACATTGGAGACATTGGAGACAAAGCTTTTGGAGACATTGGAGACATTGGAGACACTGGAGACGTAGATGTATGATTGGAGAAGGAGGAGGATCTAGGAGGAGGATGACCCAGGAGGAGGACTCAGGAGGAGAAGGAGGAGGATGAGGACTCAGGAAGAGGACTGAGGAGGACTGAGAAGGAGGAGGACTGAGGAGTACTGAGGAGGATGGCTGACAGGGACAAAAGGATTTCGCGATTATTTTGGCCAAATTTCGCGGTACCGCGAAATTTAACAGGCTATACATTAAACTATACATAAAATTTGTCGCGGAGAATGGGAAATTTCGCGATTTCGTACATGCCGCGAAATCCTTTTGTCCCTGATGGCTGAGGAGGATGGCTGAGGAGGATGACTGAGAGGGAGGAGGAGGAGGAGGAAGAGGAAGAGGACTGAGGAGGAGGAGTAGGACTGAGGAGGAGAAGGAGGAGGACCTAGGAGGAGGACCCAGAAGGAGGACTCAGGAGGAGGAGGAGGAGAACTCAGGAAAAGGACTGAGAAGGAGGAGGACTCAAGAGTACTGAAGAGGATGACTGAGGAGGAGGAGGAGGAGGAGAAGGACTGAGGAGGAGAAGGAGAAGGTGGAGGAACTAGGAGGAGGATGAACCAGGAGGACTCAGGAGGAAGAGGGGGAGGACTCAGGAGGAGGACTTAGGAGGAATGAGAAGGAGGAGGACTGAGGAGAACTGAGGAGGAGGAGGAGGACTGAATAGGAGGAGGAGGGGGACTGGGGAGGACTGAGGAGGAGGAGGACTGACGAGAAGGATGAGGAGGAGGACTGAGGACTGAGGACTGAGGAGGAAGAGGAGGATGAAGAGGAGGAAGAGGACCCAGGAGGAGGAGGACTGAAGAGGACGATGAGGATGAGGACTGAGGAGGAGGAGGACTGAGGAGGATGGCTGAGGAGGATGACTGAGAGGGAGGAGGAGGAGGACTGAGGAGGAGGAGGAGAAGGACTGAGGAGGAGAAGGAGGAGGACCTAGGAGGAGGAGGACCCAGGAGGAGGACTCAGGAGGAGGACTCAGGAGTAGGACTCAGGAAAACTGAGGAGTGAATAGGAGGAGGAGGGGGAGGACCTAGGAGGAGGAGGACCCAGAAGGAGGACTGAGAAGGAGGAGGAGGAGGAGAACTCAGGAAGAGGACTGAGGAGGACTGAGAAGGAGGAGGACTGAGAAGGAGGAGGACTGAGGAGTACTGAAGAGGATGACTGAGGAGGAGGAGGAGGAGAATGACTGAGGAGGAGAAGGAGAAGGTGGAGGAACTAGGAGGAGGATGAACCAGGAGGAGGACTCAGGAGGAAGAGGGGGAGGACTCAGGAGGAGGACTTAGGAGGAATGAGAAGGAGGAGGACTGAGGAGAACTGAGGAGGAGGAGAAGGAGGACTGAATAGGAGGAGGAGGACTGACGAGAAGGATGAGGAAGAGGACTGAGGACTGAGGAGGAAGAGGAGGAGGATGAAGAGGAGGAAGAGGACCCAGGAGGAGAAGGACTTAAGAGGAGGATGAGGATGAGGACTGAGGAGGAGGAGGAGGACTTAGGAGGACTGAGGAGGATGGCTGAGGAGGATGACTGAGAGGGAGGAGTAGGACTGAGGAGGAGGAGGAGAAGGACTGAGGAGGAGAAGGAGGAGGACCTAGGAGGAGGAGGACCCAGGAGGAGGACTCAGGAGGAGGAGGAGGACTCAGGAGGAAGACTCAGGAAAACTGAGGAGGAGGAGGAGGAGTGAATGGGAGGAGGAGGGGGACTGGGGAGGACTGAGGAAGAGGAGGACTAAGGAGAAGGATGAGGAGGAGGACTGAGGAGGAGGATGAGGACTGAGGAGAAGGACTGAGGAGTACTGATGAGGATGGCTGAGGAGGACGGCTGAGGAGGATGACTGAGGAGGATGACTGAGAGGGAGGAGGAGGAGGAGGAGGAGGAGGAGGAGGAGGAGAAGGAGGAGGACCTAGGAGGAGGAGGACTCAGGAAGAGGAGGACTCAGGAGGAGGACTCAGGAAGAGGACTCAGGAGGAGGACTGAGAAGGAGGAGGACTGAGGAGAACTGAGGAGGAGGAGGATGAGGACTGAATAGGAGGAGGGGAACTGGGGGAGGACTGAGGAGGAGGGGGACTTGGGGAGGACTGAGGAGGAGGAGGAAGACTGATGAGGAGGAGGACTGAGGAGGAGGACTGAGGAGGAGGACTGATGATTGAGGAGGAAGAGGAAGAGGATGAAGAGGAGTAGGAGGACTCAGGAGGAGGAGGACTCAGGAGGAGGAGGAGAACGAATGAGGAGGACTGAGGAGGAAGAGGAGGAGGAGGAGGAGGAGGAGGAGGCTGTGTCTCCAATGTCTCCAAAAGCTGTGTCTCTAATGTCCCCAATGTCCCAAATGTCCCCAATGTCTCCAATGTCTCAAAAAGCTGTGTCTCCAATGTCTCCAAAAGCTGTGTCTCTAATGTCCCCAATGTCCCAAATGTCCCAAATGTCTCCAATGTCTCCAAAAGCTGTGTCTCCAATGTCTCCAATGTCTCCAATGTCTCCAATGTCTTTGTCTTTTTCGAAAAGATAAGGTGCGGGAGACATTGGAGACATGTCACCCCCCCCCCCAATAATGACAACTATTTATGTCGTGTACTCGAAAATGCCCCAATAATTAGCATCTGGTTAGTGGTTACTTGATGCACAGATTTTGTAGCTAATAGCAACAAACTTTGGTCTGTGAAACGAAATTTGATAGACTGGATCAGTGGATCCCTGACTGAGGACATTTAAATAACGGTCCAGCAACTTTTAGTCTGCTCTTTCACTTAAATTCCTATTGAAATATTATCGAAAATTCTCAGAGTTGGCTCTTGAATTTCCTACTTTTTGTCAAAAATTTCCTACTTTTAAAAATTTCCTACATTCTTAGAATGCGAGAATGCGGGTTTTTGGATATGGGGTTGAGTCAGCTGTGAACTGTTGTTGAGTCAGCTGTGAACTGTTGTTGAGTCAGCTGTGAACAGTTGTTGAGTCAGCTGTGAACTGTTGTTGAGTCAGCTGTGAACTGTTGTTGATTCAGCTGTGAACTGTTGTTGAGTCAGCTGTGAACTGTTGTTGAGTACTGTGAACTGTATTGAGTCAGCCGTTGCACAGTTGTTGAGTTAGCTGTGAAACTGTTGTTTGATCAGCGTGAACTGTTGTGATCCAGCTGGAACCTGTTGTTGATCAGCTGGGAACAGTTTGAGTCAGCTGTGATCTGTTGTTGAGTCAGTGTGAACTGTCTTTTGCTTGTGAACAGTTGTTCAGTCACTGTAACTGTTTTCATCATCTGTGAACAGTTTGCTGTGAACGGTTGTTGATTCAGCTGTGAACTGTTTGATCAGCTGTGAACTGTTGTTGAGTCCAGCTGTGAACTGTTGTTGAGTCACGGTGAACTGTTTGTTGAGTCAGCTGTGAACTGTTGTTGAGTCTGCTGTACTCACGGAGGACACACATTGAGTCCAGCTGGAAACTGTTGTTTGAGCAGCTGTGAACTGTTGTTGATCAGCTTGAACTGTTGTTGTATGACAGTGACTCAAGCTGTGAACATTGTTGAGTCGAGGAGCTGTGAACTGTTTGTTGAGGTCACTGTGAACTGTATGGTTGTAGTTATGAGGGGAGCAGCTGTGAAACTGTTTTTGTCATACTGTGAACTGTTGTTGGATCAGCTGGAGAACATGTTGTTTGAGTCACTTGAACTGTTGTTGATCAGCTGGAACTGTTGTTGGAGTTCACTGTGATCTGTTGTGGGAGTCAGCTTGAACTGTTGTTGTTCAGCTGTGAACTGTTGTGTGATCTGCTTTGAACAGTTGTTTGAGTTTAGCTGTGATCTGTTGTTCAGTCTCTGTGAACTTGTTGTGTCTGCTTTAGCTGATGTTGAGTCAGGCTGTGAACTGATGTTGATCAGCTGTGATCGTTTTCTGTCAGCTGTGAACTGATTTTAGTCAGCTGAACTGTTGATCCTGTATAAGTTAATTGTTAGAATGTATTATCAATGATATCATTAGATTACTCAATCACAATATTATCAAATATATCATTAGATCAATCAATCACAATATGTCCTTGACACTAAGTCAAATCACAGATTTTTTCCGAAGGCAATAGTGAAAGGTTAAAAATGGTCGTTTTTGCAGAAAAACGTGGATTTGGAGATAGCGGTAAGCGGGTCTGAATATGGTGTCATTCCTTTCATTCGTTCGTTAGTTACCATGACAACTTACCATGTGTGCGCACGAGGATTGCTTGCGGAGATGTGGTGTATAGCTAGCCTGTGGTCAATGAATGCGCAACGCGATTTTAATGTATACTACTATGTAATGTATAATATTAGGTAATAAGCCCAATTTGTGCGTGGCGTTATAGCACGCGTAGTGTACTGATGTGTTTCAATATTATTATTATGAAATGAGCTGATTAGAGCTTATATTTATAGTTATAGGAAATGGAAATCTAGCGTCCGCCAAAAGGAAACAACGGAATATTGTGGTATATTGTTAATCGTAGTGTGGAATATATCAATAAAACTTCATATGATTACTATATGATATAATTATAATTAAAGTGATATTTTCTGAATAGATTTATTTTGAGATAATGTAGTTGTTTGTTGCTGAATATTTTCACCTCACCCTTTAGAACCGCTCTGACATGGTTAGTACCTGACACTTGTGTCAGTTGCTAACCATATTATAGGCGGTATACAAGCACATTATTTCATTTCATTTATCAAATAAGATTATGGCTACTAATCATTGTTGTTTTGCTTAGTAATATTACTCAATAACTAGATTCCACTCCAGCATAATAATTAATGGGAAAATCAAAAGGAAAATATCAACCTCCAAAAAATGGGCATGCAAACAAAGGTAAGTTTATTGTTACAGGTCCAAATTAAAGTGTTAGTTACAGTAAGCTAGATCATTCAATATTGAAAACAGTCATATAAATATAATAACAGATCAGAGTTCATATTTAAATAATAGAGTTCAGTAATTAACCAAAATTGAAATTGTATCCTATTACAGGATCTCCAAAGATCGAAGCAGTGGAAGAAAAACAGTTGGAGCAGAAAGAGTTGGAACCCATATTTGATCTTCAATGGCACTCTTACATAGCTCTAGGACTATTCGTTAGCGTCTATCTTAAGTGTACATCAGCTTCAATCCCTAGTGGGGATGCAGGTTTGTAATTGAACATTTTAAACACAATTATGACTTTAAATAATGCAAATTACATAAAACAAATAATCTTGAATACAAAATTTATTATGATTATTAGTGGATGATTTTGTTCCAATTGCTTTGTTAGTGCCAGCAATCCTGCCTTATTAAGGTATTAGAAAGTCTAGAAATGAGAAAAGGCTATTTTTTGAGAAAAGACAAATAAAAAGAAACAAGTTTTATCTAGTCTTCTAGACTAATCTTACCTTTCTGCTTTCCCAAAAGAAATTGTCTTTTCTTAATCACTAAATTTTCTCAGGAGACTTCATCATGGCGGCGCAACATTTCGGAGTAGCGCACCCTCCAGGGTACCCTCTCTACGTAACAGCTGGATACGTGTGGATGAAACTTATGCCTTTTGGAAACCCTGCTTTCAAGCTCAACGTTCTCACTAGTTTCATTGGTGGTTTAGCTGCTTTTGTTGTTTACCTCACCACGTATAAGTTAGTACATTTTTGTCGAAGGATAACATTTTTAAATGATTCCATTGATGTTTAACTTACTTTTTTACCTGCATTCAACTAATAGTAAGACCAAAGATTATAGTAACAAATCAATTTTTAAAACAAGCTGATTTCTAAGTTCACTGTTTTACAGGATCACCAAGTTCATCCCAAGCGCGGTGTTTGCAAGTACAGTTTTTGGTTTCTCCCATTTGATCTGGTTTCACTCAGTGGGAGCTGAGATATTCTCCCTTAACAACTTGTTTTGTTCTCTACTTCTATACTGGGTTGTCAGGTTTCAGCAGGCTGACGTGTCAAACAGAGCAAGGGTATGTTATAACATAAATGTACATAATGTATTGCATAAATATAGTGTAAAAACTTCGTTACTTCTCATTTTCACCTCTAGCTCGTTATTTAGTTAGTACTTATGATTTTTACCTAATTTTTGTTATTTTAGAATTAGGCTTTTTAAAGGTTTAAATCCTACAATGGAATAATTCACGGGAATTTTAATTTAACGATAAATATCCATTTCAGGTAGCAATGGAGGCAAGTTTCTTATCTGGTCTTAGTATGTGCAATCAACATACCAGTGCATTATTCATTGTAGTTATAGGTGGTTGGATGTTCTTATCTCTTCTAAAAGATAAGGTACGTGAGTTTTTAGCATATTTTAGCGAGATTCTGTACTTTTGGTTGGATGAACTAACTCAAACTTAGTTGATTTCGGACGAAATCTAATCAAGAACAAGTATAACCTAAAACAAAGCAGTATACTGTTTTAATTCACTTAATTCCTCTTTCAGGCGATAACAATGCAACAGTTTCTGCATACAGGAGTGGCATTTGGAGCAGCACTGACACCTTACATACAACTCCCTGTTAGTGCCTACTTTGCTAAAGCACCTAGCACATGGGGCGATCAGCGCACTGTAGCAGGTGACTAACAAATATAACAAATATTTATAATTATTATAAATATGTAATATCTTAATTAATCAATTGAATGGTTTAGTTTAACCAAATTATGGTTAATTTTTAGGAGTACTGTAAGGAAAAATAGAAAGTTTGTGTCCCCAAAACACCTTTTCAGTCGATATTCATCGATATTCATCGATATTCATCGATATTCATCGATTTAATTTATTCATCGATTTAACTTCAGCATTTTTGTCGTTTATGTAAGTGTGGAATGCTGACGTACTACATTCAAACATAGTTTACATACTGTACCTGGTAGATGTAACGTCGTACCCTAATTATAATGTTCTTTACTTTAGAGTCTGTTGTTGTGTGAAACTACGTGAGCTATAACAATGTAATCTTGCAGATAATAGTCGTGAATATTTGAATTTTAATTAAATACGACTGAAAGTTGGACTAACTAAATAAATGGTGATTTTCTCATCTCCATAATATTATCTTCTCTCCTTTATTATGCAAATGAGAATTATACGGTCTGCTTAGATTGTTCACTAAAATATGCAAATTAAAACAACATTTGCATAACAATAGAGTTCTTGACATTGTACAGCTCTTGACTTCGTACTAAATCTGCAGTAAGATTTGTCTAGATCTTTCAAACAAAACACAGTTAGCTGTTACATAACACTTACACTTACTTACAGTGTTAGCTGTAATACTTACTTACACTGAAGGATGGTGGAGTGACGATTAATATAAAGGAAAGTGTTGGCTACTTTACACAGCCCATTTTTCTAATTGAAGATAGCTACAAAATTTAGCCCACATTTTTGGACCTTTTGCTGTGCCATGTTTCTCAGAGCTCAAAGTCTCACTACTTTTGTCATTAGCATCTGTCTGCGTGTAGACGTCCTAAAGGAAGAACTTTATAAGTTCAACACTTAGTGTTAGCATTTTAACACGTCTTGCAAGCCCCGGTGTAGACTGCAGTTTTACAGACACAAAAATACAGCTGTGAACTGTTGTTGAGTCAGCTGTGAACTGTTGTTCAGTTAGCTGTGAACTGTTGTTGAGTCAGCTGTGAACTGTTATTCAGTCAGCTGTGAACTGTTGTTGAGTCAGCTGTGAACTGTTGTTGAGTCAGCTGAGTAAGATGTTCCAGCCTGATGAAAACTGACATTTTCAAGAACACAAGATAGCTTTATAAACCAGTACTGCTGAGTTTTAAAATATCTGTCGTTCAGTAGACTTGTTAGAACTGATGTGTTGAAAAAACGGTCTGTAAAAGTAGTTTTGCGCGCGGTTCTGTAAAGAATTAGACAGTGTTTTTATGTTTTTAACATATTTAACATATTTAAATTACTGATTTAAATGTTTTTGTATGGCTGTTTTTCTAAACTGCAAGCTTGTCAGGACGGAGTCGGGAGTTATGTTTGGAATGTATCACACATGGTAAACGTGGTTACCGCGCTGTAAAATTATACTTTCTGTTCTTATTTTTCAAACGAAAAGCGTCGATGAATTGCAGATGGAAGTTTAAAATTTAAATAACAGCTACGGGTTGCTTTTGTTAGTGGTGGAAGTTTGTGACGTCACGTGGCTGTTCTATGTAACGTAGTTAAACCAATTTATATTCCAAATTGCGATCGGATAGTTTAATCTCGGGGCAATCAGTAATTATGCATGTGGATTATAATAATATGTTCATTATCTGATTTTCTTATTATTATATATATATAAATATATAATGGTATTACTGGTTGGCCTTGTTCCATATTATACTGTACAATAGATAATTTATAATACTGATGGGATATTATAATGCATTATCATTGTATTGATATACTTATGCATTATGTTATACGCAAAGTTAATATTATATACATAAGATAAGAGAATATTATATTATTATATAATAATCAATCTTACTGCCGGCGCCTGTAACTTCGTTATCTAACCTGTGCGTTAGTGTGACCCTCAACTTTGAGGACTCAATTGTTGTACGAAACCCTCAATTATTGCTGTTAACGAACCAGGTGCCCCACAATTGTGTGTACTATGTACTATGTAGGTATCTGTAGAAAACATGCAGAGTCAGAGTTAGTGAGTTACACGTGCTTTAGATTTAGTAAATAACTACCTGTAAAATGAGGAACGAATTACAATATCAATGGGGCACGAACTGTGTACATGTCTGTGTACATGTCTGTGTACAGGTCTGTGTACAGGTCTGTGTACAGGTCTGTGTACAGGTCTGTGTACAGGTCTGTGTACATGTCTGTGTACAGGTATGTGTACAGGTCTGTGTACAGGTCTGTGTACAGGTCTGTGTACAGGTCTGTGTACAGGTCTGTGTACAGGTCTGTGTACAGGTCTGTGTACAGGTCTGTGTACAGGTCTGTGTACAGGTCTGTGTACAGGTCTGTGTACAGGTCTGTGTACAGGTCTGTGTACAGGTCTGTGTACAGGTCTGTGTACAGGTCTGTGTACAGGTCTGTGTACAGGTCTGTGTACAGGTCTGTGTACAGGTCTGTGTACAGGTCTGTGTACAGGTCTGTGTACAGGTCTGTGTACAGGTCTGTACACTGCAACTGGTCTGTGATTCCGTGTACAGGGTACAGGGTGTACGGTTACACACAATAAGTTTAAACCCCTCCAACTTCCTCTAATCTCCTTCCTTCACTATTTTCTGAAGCATATGCTTATGGTATAAGTTTAATACCAGTCTAGAATACTCATTCTAGACTGGCTATAGCCTATAGGGGTGGTTACTAGGGTGGTAACACTATAGGGGTGGTTACTAGGGTGGTAACACCTAAAATTACTAGTATAGAAAGGAAAAATCGGGCTACCTGGGTATAGCCACTCTGGTAATTAAATAAAACAATAATATAGAATAATATTATATTATCTTCCTGAATAATGGAATAATTTGTCTTATAAAATTGTTGATTCAAATAAACATTTTTTTTCCTTAGAATTTGTCGTTTTCTTGACTATTTCCTATTCAGGTATCTGGAAGCATGTTGCTCGAGAAGAGTATGGAACGTTCAGGTTAACGGCTGATGACAATACTTCTGGGGATCTGTTTGCAAACATGGCGTGAGTTAACATATTTAACATATTTAACACATTACTTAAACTACTAATTTAACAGTTAACACATTTTGCTGCAACATCACAATTCACATTGTTGCCCTGTAACAGTTACCACTCTATCACGGCTTGGGTGAATTCTTGAGTGCTATATTGTCTGGTATATATGTATTATAAACGTTGAGTAACGGGCCGCTGGATCATGAATTAATCGAAGCGAACTGAACTTTAGTGTACTGTTCTTTATTATCCATTTAATGAAATCTTTATGTAATTATTATATTATGCAATTATATAATTATGTAATTATGTAATTATGTAATTATGTAATTATGTAATTATTGATTAATTATTGACAATTTACAGTAAATTACCTGCCTTATAAAAGTGTTACACATGGAACTTAGGTTTTTATTTCTATTTTACCAGCACGTTAAGAGTAAGGATTAAGGAATGCAGTGTATCAGTAAAACCTTACTACGTAAGTGTAGTAAAGGTGTAGTAAAGGTGTAGTAAAGGTGAAGTTAAAACCTTACTACCCAGAGGGATAGTAAAATAATTACGCCTGTAGCGTAGAAACCTATGTACAGTCTAGCATACATTTTCCTGAAAAACATGTTATTATTTTTTATCAATAAACTTTCAAAATGTTTACAAATACATCATTTTATTTCAAAGAAAATTCGCCGAATGACCTTACATGCCTTGACAAGTGACCGAGTGTAAACAAAAATAATATTATATAATGTTATATGTATAAACAGTTTGACGTGATCATATTGATTAGATAAAAGTAACAAGCATTCCGTTACACGAATTTGAAAAATGTTTCTGCAACTCTCGAGAAAACTTGTATGCATTATTAGTCTGAAACGAAAAAGATACCAATTCATTACCATGGTTACCATGGTAAATGGCCTATTATCATCCTGGTAAAATCCTAGTAATACCAGTACAGTCTAGTCATACCAATACAGTCTAAAACTGACGAAATAACCAGTTCACAGTTATGGAACTTAACCTTGTGAGCTATAATTAACCTGTCACAAACAACAAGATCCCACTACTGCATGATATTATAGTCTACAATCTGTAAACACTATAGTGATATTAAAATATTTGATGTCCAGTGTATTATTTTATGTAGTAAATGTAATAATATAGTTCAGGGTTATTGTAATAAAAAGAATCAATATTATTGAGAACATGTACCATCACATTATAATACATTGATATAAATTAATGTGAATAATGTTGTGTAGTTAAGGTGTAGTTAAGGTGTAGTTTTTATACAGTGTATAATATTATTGTGTAGTTAAGGTTCTAAAAATTACATTTTATAGGATTAGTGTTTAGTTAGATATGTAGTTATAACTTTAAATTCCTCATGTAATTAAGCTGTAGTTAAGGTGTAGTTAACTGTGTATTGTGTAACCCTGTACCTTAACCTGGTTGCTATGGTAATAAAGCTATAAAGGTATGTATTTTAGTAGGTCTCCAGGAAGCGTGTATTATCGGTAATATTGAGGTAAGTTACAAAGTACCTTTACTGGTTGTAGTACCGAATACTGTGCCACTTTACTTGGTGACAAACACATACTTCCTATTTACTTCCACCTGTAAAATAACTAACAATTGGTTATGTTTTACCAAATGGTAAAATCTTTTAACATCTGATGAGAATTACGGGAGTTGATCGTAAAACCATCATAGTACATATTATATTAGAGTATTAGCACTGATGACTGATGACTGATGACTGATCTATCAGTCGCGGAAATAAATGAGCTCTAAAGTCTAAACGATGTATTCTGATATTTACCATACTATGATTTGGTTAAACTTTACGGATCAGGGTCACTATAAGTAGACCACCCGACTGGATGTTCCAGTTAAACAATTAAACAGTTAAACAATTAAACAATTAAACAATTAAACAATTAAACAATTAAACAATTAAACAATTAATGGGAACAAGGAGATACTATTGATTTTGTGCAACCTAGAGTAGGAAGTTTATAGGGGACTTCATGATATGTATTCAGTAGCATTCATGAACAACACTATCTCAATGAATGTGCCTCAGACAGATTTCCTATCTAAGAGTTGAAGTGACGTGTGAATATACTAAGTATGGCAACAGAAGCCAAACTAGGGTCGGACCAATTAGGGCCGATAACATACATCAGGCCTTTTTTATAATTCAATTGTTTGATTAGAGTTGAACAGTTCGTACGCTACTCATTTGAAAACGTATCACTTGTCAATACTTTAATACTCTGGGGATCTAAAGTGTCTTATTGTGTTAAATATCGAACTTATTATAATAACTAGTGTTACCCTTGCCTACGGCCGGGACTTCACTATTGTACATAGTTGAAATGCAAAAGTATAAACCCGCCTATTACATTCGAAAACACGGTGCGAAAGTATGAACTCGCTCAGTTCAAACATACCACAATTTAATTCTGAGTCCCCCTCACGTATCTAATACTAGTAATATTTGATAACTTAATTAAGGCTTACGCAATCTTGATTGTCTTATAAAATATATTATTTTGTACATGTTATTGTAGTGTACCAATATAATATGAACCTGCAGTCTGCACACAGATATTGAACTGTAGGTTAGTCCAACTGCTAGGTTGCTTACTTTAGTTCAACATAACAATAATACTCCAGCAACTTACAAACTGTACATTAGATACATGTACTGATATTTACAGTTAGTTGTTACACTCACTAATCGTTGTAAGGTACTCCGTGAGGGACAGTGCAGATATAATATACTTGTTAAATACCACGCCTATCTTACGAGATAGAAGATAATATGATAAGACAACGTCATGATAATTAGTGCTATTAATTAGTGTTATTAATTAGTTGTCTACAAGTAAGTTTACTAATTGTCATAGAAGTTTATTTAGATCCGCTCGGTCTAAATAAAACACTTTTGAAAAAGATAAAAAGTGTTTATCTTTTTATTTATACTTTACACGACAGACATACCAGTTTATTTTCGTAAGCACGTAGCACTCAACAGCCAAGGTATTATTGTATTATAATTATCACGTCAAAGCAGTTGATATTGATAATATAAACTCCTATTCTTACTAACTATATAATTATCACGACAAAGCAGTTGATAATAAACTTCTATTCTTTCTAATTGTCGCGACAATTAGTCGATTATAAGCGATTATTTTTTGAACCGTTTATAATCGTAAAAAAATCGATTATAAACGGTTTTTTTAAAGCGCCGAAAAAGCGCCCGATAAGCGATTATCAGCGCCGATAATAAAATTTCGTTTATGGAAACTTGCCTCTAATTATATAATTATCACGACAAAGCAGTTGATATAAACCACTATTCTCTCAATAAGTCAATTTTACTGAATTTATTTGACGTTTGTTAAAGTTATTTAAGGTATATTTTTAAGTGTATATTAGCAGCCGCTCTTCGTGCTGGAGCTGATACGATTGAATCATGAATGTCTTCTAATACCTTATTCTAGCCTCATTCTATTTTCTAGCCTCATTCTATTTTCTAGCCTCATTCTATTTTCTAACCTCATTCTATTTTCTAACCTCATTATATTTTCTAACCTCATTATATTTCTAGCCTCATTTTACCTCGCTCTCATCTAAGTGAAGCCTCACTGCTTATAGATAGATGAATAAATTCTAGATAAATAAATAAATTCTAGTATTTTTTACAACCTCCGACATTAAAAATGATCCTAAGATATCATTTAAGTCATTCAAGCGAGACTTAGTGTGGAAATATCTAATATCGAATTCTCTCCGTATTAAAGTAGTGGAACTACTACTACAGCTGAGCAAACTGTGCGGAGGATGGAATTGTGACGTCATCTCATCTTACTAACACAAGAATTAAAGTTGTTATAACTTATAATATAAGATCAGTAAACAGAAAGTACACAACTATTTACATAATTTTATAGTTCCTACTGAATCTCATAATGAACCATTGTTAGATTCTTGCTCAATACTAATTATCAGTATAATTTTCATGTGATGTTAATCTCTGCAAAACCTTTGTTTACGTTACTTACATGCCTTGAGAAAAGTTTATTGTACAGACAACATGCAATTTTGTGCTGATATATTCGTATCAGTTTGTCCACAAAAAACGTGCATGTACAGTTAAATTTATCTTGTGCAGGCAACAAGGTTACCAGGTTACCAGGTTACCAGGTTAAGGGTCCTTACCTCACTCTAACCTCACTCTTACCTCGCTCTAACCTCACTCTTACCTCGCTCTAACCTCACTCTAACCTCACTCTTACCTCGCTCTAACCTCACTCTTACCTCGCTCTAACCTCACTCTTACCTCACTCTTACCTCACTCTTACCTCGCTCTTACCTCACTCTAACCTCACTCTAACCTCACTCTTACCTGGCCTCACTCTTACCTCACTCTTACCTCACTCTAACCTCACTCTAACCTCACTCTTACCTCACTCTAACCTCACTCTTACCTCGCTCTAACCTCACTCTAACCTCGCTCTAACCTCACTCTAACCTCACTCTAACCTCACTCTTACCTCACTCTAACCTCACTCTTACCTCACTCTTACCTCACTCTAACCTCACTCTTACCTCACTCTAACCTCACTCTTACCTCACTCTTACCTCACTCTAACCTCACTCTAACCTCACTCTTACCTCGCTCTAACCTCACTCTAACCTCACTCTAACCTCACCCCCCTCAGAACGTACACAAGTGATCTAGTACACGAACTAACCAACATAACACTGGTTCTGTGTTTACTGTGTGTAGCTACTGCTTGGTTCTTTCCTCGTATCAGAACTGTAAGTTTACTTTAATTAACTAATTATCTTAATGGTTGATAATTAATGATTAATTAATTGATAAGATTTTTTGTGGATTTAAGTTTTCGCTTATGCTATTCATATTGTTAATCTGTATTGACTGAAAGGGTGTTTTAATCGATGCCCGATAATTTTATTAATTAACTAATTATCTAATAGTAATAGCTTAATTAACAGGTAGTGTACGTGTACGTAGCAAACATATTTGTGTACATGATGTTCTTCTGTAACCAAGCCAACATTGATCACTCAAGAGAGCTCATGAAGGGTGTAGTAAGTATTTTAAACTTTTAATTTCTTAATTACTTTTATTAATGTCTTAATTAACCAATTAGTTAGTTTATGAGAAACTTATTTTTTGACGTATTAATTCACAATTTTTCCGTATACTACTGTACTTGCTAAATGCTATTACGACATAATTAATTAATTCTTAATTAATGAAAGTAAAGTAAAGTTAAGTAAATTAATGCAAGTAAAGTGCACTATAATCGTGCAAACCTTCTTAATTTCTTAGATTCATTTAAAATTTAGTTACCTCCACATTGCTGTGACTTGCGAACGAAGTTGGTTTTTTTTTCTTCTTAAAATTGGAATCTCTTATGTTTTTTTTGTGATTTCCTTGAGATACGAAGAGAACGGTATGCCTAGTGTTAATCAACAGAGATACTATCCTTCCAAATCTGGTGCTAAAATCAAACTGATGAATAACAAAGATGGCAAAACATAAAACAAATAACATTTAGCGAATTGCTAATAATATTATAATAATTCAGGTTTAGTAATACATACATATTTAAGATTCTTTAAAACCAATCGTGCGTTACCACTTAACTTGCCTATAGAGAACATGACGATGGTAAATTGCCACGGTTAAATGTTCATCATTTTCTCAAATACTAGAGAAAACATATGTTGATTACTCTTATAATTAGACTCGGAGAATAATGCTATTTTTAGCATCTCTTGGTTTTTAAACAGTGAACACTGTTTAAGCGAAAAATATCTGTTTTTATTGCAAATCCTTATCAGATTTCAAAATATTAAAAACATGTAATAGCCAAAATGAATTGTTTAGATATCCAAAGATAACCTCAAATAATATGAAATAAACATCTGTTATGTACGCGTACGCTATTAAATAGAATTAGAAGTCCCTTCGATTAAAATCAACAAAACTGTTTATTCAGATTTCATAATATAATTACCAGCTGTAGTGATATGATATATATAAGGGATGATATGCTGATGTTTCAGTTGAACATCCCTTATTGTCGCCATGGCAGCCATATCTTCACCTTGGGTGGATGTCTGGATAGGAGTCTTGGTAGTTTTTATTCATTTGCGGCAATGCATGTCATTTCTGGCTCTGAGATTAACCTTGACTTTGTGATAATCACTTCTTGCAGTGAAAATTCAGTCTCTAACTTTAATAAACAGTTCACTTTCTTTTCTTAAATCGAGTATTTCTTTCTCCTCGCTTTTTGATCGTTTGTCCGTAAACGCCGTTATATCAAAAGTTTAATAAAGCCTAACCGTTTCAGTTGTCCAGCTCTTAATATAGAAAACTATTAAACAATAACTGATAAATAGCCAGCTAGAACTACTTGCGGTATTGAAAAGATATGTTACAGGGTTTAGGTCTAATTCAGTGATCTTGACACATCACAGGCATTTCATCCTAACATTTCAGGAAATGTGCCGATAAAGTCAACATAATCAACAGTATCAACAGTATAGAAATCTAATGGCACGTCTTATAGAACTGCTACTGATTGTGGTAGTCTCAGTTCACAGTTTTGAAGACACCGTAAAAGATCGGAGCGGTTCCTTAAAGGATAAAACAGGACAACATGCATCAAACATGAAAGTTCCTAATAATCCAGGTGAAAACAGGATGGGTGCAGCGGGGGATCTCTACCATATGAACGAGAAGGACGCGCATTTAATCTTCTAGTTCCTTTCATGGAAAAAAGAGACAGCATCTTCGTTTGTGGTTGCCATGAAGATGACGGGGCTCTAGTCGAATCCTCAGATGTGATAGTCGACATCACTGCACAAGAGGGAAGAAAAATAGTCTTCTTAAAAAAGACTAAAAGTAAAGACTTGTTAGCTCAAATTAAAATGGAAGAGGGGGAGAAGACGATGTCTTGTTCTCATGTGGAGCGGGAAAGTGGCGGGTTGGGGGAACAGCCGGGACTAGAAAACATGTTAGCTGATTTGGAAAATAGGAAAACAAAAAGTGGGTTCGTGCTGATTGAGAAGAAGGTTCCAGATAATGGTGAGGGAAATCCTGGACAGAAGTTTGATAGACGTGGAAAAGAATGATACAGCAATCGTTATTTTGACACTGTGGTAAACTACAAGGAGAAGTGGAATATGGAACAGACAATGATATGTATTTTTCTATGGACAAAGTTGCGATGAAGCTTTAACAAATTTAAGAACTTTTTACTTGATTAAATATGACCAATAGTGCTGTCCAAAATATGAAGTGAGATTCTCTAAAAATAATGCCCCGTTCTCAATTTTACGTTAATTATCAAATTAATTTTAGCTAGTCGATCTTTACCATTAAATTATACATTATACCAGTATTTCTTCTTCTTCGTAGGGGGCTGTAGTCAGGGTTACCACTATAAGATAGAGCATTGGAACCCTGTGCTTACCCCGGTAAAATATTTATTAGTGGAAAAAAGTTAAACTTTGTTTTTTCCACATTTGGTGAACCGTTTAGTTATTATATACCAGTATTATACATTATGTATGTATTCTTCAAATTGATAGATCATTAATCAAGATTCAATTTAGAGTTTTATCAAAATAAGGCAGACAGGAAGATGTGTGACAGAATCTGAAGACATTCCATGAACATTCCTCACTTTTCCTATCTTATAACTATAATACTGATTATCACATGAGCGATAGTACCTAGCAACAGAAACTCACCCAGATGATATGCTGTTCTAACATGGCTTCACTGCTCACTTGTCCCTGATATTGTACGTTGATTGTACAGACTTACTACACCATTATAATATGTTAAATTAGTTAAACTGCCCTAAACTTCGAAGGAAAGTTGTTAAAAACCAACATATTATGCAAATCAGATAAATGATTTGGTTAAATTAAGTTTGGCGTTAACAGAGATATTCCACGTTCAATGACTCGGTTAATCTTGCACAGTTTGATCTGGAAGCCTTTTAAGTTCATAAATTTCTGGCATATTCGTTACATTCTTGAAGTATTCCGACAGCACTAAATCTACTAATAATCTCTAAATTACGTAGAAGACTCGAGTCTTGGCTTGATTCCAACTCACCTTTTTCTGAGTGGGTCAACTGTGACACTTCGGGGGTTGCTATATTGATAGGGGAGGAATGGCGCAAAGGAGCACATTCACTGGTAAATGCCTATCACATCACTTAGCAATTTGCTTCCTTTCGCTATTCATTTAATTACCAAGTACACTCATTTTAATGATTTCATATTATTGTGACGAAATTTTCATGTTATGTAAACCTAATGATTTAACTTAATAATCTTAATTCCCGTAGCTATAGAGTCGTAGGGCGGAATATAAGGACCCGGCATGTTTTTTTTAATCGGATTTGAATTATCCTTAACTTAGCTCTGTTAGAAAGTTGCTATTTTTCAGTATGAGTGCAATTTCAAATACTAATAATGGCTAACAAATTTCAAATATTTAAAATGGTTAACATTTAAAAAGCTAAAGCCTAAATGAATGTTGCTGTAAAATGAGGGATGAAAAAAGACAATAAAAAGTGTCTCATTTGAAAGTTTACACTTCACGTTTAAAAGTTTGCACTTCACGGTATCTGCGTCCAGCAATTCGAGGAACAGGGAGAGAACAGCAGAGATAAAGCGTGGTTAAATTATTTGTGGATTGTACTTGATTTATTTTGGAAGTTGGCACAAATTTTGATTATAAAAGGTTATTCTGGCGTATATGGCTTACTCTTTGGACAACAAAAAAATCTTGATCGACCATCATAAAACGTTCTATCATTACAGAGAATGTTTTAAGTGGCCTACCTTAAGCGTCAGTTTTAGGCCCCTTATTATTTATGTTGTGCTTAAAGGATCTGGTGAACATGTACACTGTACATAGTTGAGTTGTCAACAATTTCCCGGTTGCTACAAATCTCCGAGGATATTGGTCATTTTACCATGACCTCAACCAAGTCAATGCATGGCATATTATCACTCCATTAGCACTCCATTAGCTCCTCATTAACTGGTTAAGATTGTGAAACATTCTACACGAGACTTCATCAACTGATTAAGTCTGACAGAATCTCTGATAGCAACGACTCTAATATTATATTCCTTCCTTTATGTATCTCAGTACATTTATCACGTTACATTAACATGATATTACTCACGTAAGTGTCATTGTGGACAGTCTGTTCATGCATGTTCAGTTTTTCATTCAATATTTTCGTTGACGTGTCGTGATTCAGTTGTTACAATAACGAACGTTTCGTCAGCTCGCATTGAGAGCAAAAATCGGATAATTTACGTCTGGCGCGAACGCCAAACGTACTCTTTATGTGAAGCTAGGCGCCAGTTTTTCGTGAGACCCGCGCCGCGCCGCGCGCTTGAATTGATTGCCGCTCCGATCCAGTTGCATGATTCGATATACACGTACATGCGCTGCTGCAGGCTGCATGCATCATGTCCATGCACGTGGAGCTAGGAAGTGAAAATTAAAGAGAAAATATCAGTAAACAAATTAATGGGTAAGCACAATGATCTGTAGCGGTGAAATCTTAACTTAGGATGCGTTCTAACAGAACTAACTATCACCTCGGTTTAACTAACTATTATTAACTAACTAACTATTATGAACTTACTAAACATTACAGCTGGAACGGTTCTGGATGCAGTCCAACATCCCTGTCAGTATTCTAGCCGGGTGTGGTATTTGGTGTCTGTACTCTCCGATAAAAGGAAAATGCAGCAGTCTTGGAACTGTGTTATACTATGGGTTGGGAGTTGGTGCTCTGATTATGGGAGCTTATCAAATTGTAAGTATAAACTTCAGCTTAGGTAACAGGTCCCTTCCTTGGGGACCCGTCTTTTGACTAGAAAAATGTATCTTATTAATCAATACCAGAAAAAACAAGGTTCAAATAATTTGTCACCTTTCCGTGATTATACCCTTGTCAATATGTCTGGCTGACATTTCCTCTCACACAGCGAGAAAACTACACAATATGTGACATGAGCAGTAACTTAATCATGAGGGATTACGGAAGGAAACTCCTGGACGCTCTCCCTGCAAACGGAGTTCTTCTAGTTGAGGGGGACATGCCATCCCTTACATCCAGGTTATTAATTAGTTATTTATAGTAGTTAATTAATATTAGTTATTACCAATTTTCGAAAACTCCCTTCGGCTGATTACGTAATATTATGTGAAAGACCATTTATTTAATTTTATAGAGCTAGTACGAGTCACGAGACATCAGATATGTATTAAAGATAAAATAGATTAGTCACTGCGTGTCTGTATTGATAATAATTAATATTAAATTAGTAGGTAATTATTAATTAATTAATTAACTACTTGTGTTTAAGGTATTTGCGGTACTGTGAGAATTACAGACCGGATGTGGATGTTGTGGATCAAGAACTAATTGGGTTTAATTGGTACAAACCAATGCACAAACACAACTTTAGGCACTACACTTTCCCTTACGACAGGTAACTAATTTAACTAATTGCCCATCCAAATTATTAGTTACTAGCAGGAACCCGTATAACCCTAAAATGGTGTCAAGACTCAAGAGACTAAAATAATTATTACCTATTTAATTCGCGTTTTTGACACCACTTGGGGGTCCAAATTTTGGGCTCTAAAACTCTTATTCCTTGGCCAATTTTTTATTTTTTCATGCTGATTTGAAAAGCATAAAAGCATTTGACCCAGTCAAAAAAGTTTCAGTTGTATATCTTTTACGGTTTTTGCGGAAAGTCGCGTTAAAGTTGATGCCGTGGTGTCAGTAAAATGGCACAGATATATATATATATATCGTCTCGCTTTATATATAGTAAGATGTAACTAATTAAAATAATTTGATTATCATGGAGACAAAGTTTACCAGTTTTGGCTATTTCTTAATACATAAAAGTGCAATACTGACAGTGATTATTATATTGCAATACTGACGGTGACTATATAGTGCAATACTGACTGTGATTATATAGTGCAATACTGACGGTGATTATATAGTGCAATACTGACGGTGGGTTCGGATAATCATCAGCTGGTAATTATGCCAGCTGTCAAGGCCAGTTTAGGAACTAACACACAAGAGACGCGAAATCTCGAGGTTCTGGGATCATTCCCCAGTTGTCCCAAGTTTTTCAGAATTAATCATCACATATAGACAGCATGAGAGTAGGCCTGGCCATCTCGAAGTGATAATAATAATTAAAATGTTTCGCAGATTGGCAATTGATCGGTGTAGTTGGTGTTGTACACACTGCACTGATAATGATATCACGTTGAACGTGTAATGTAAATATAGTGTGGATACATGCGAATATATATTCTAAATAACTGATAAATGATATTCCACACAAAGCATGAAATTGAGCTGTATATGAGTGGTGATTTCGCTCTGAGAATCAGGGTCAGTAGCTCAATTGGTAGAGCAAGAGACGCGAAATCTCGAGGTTCTGGGATCATTCCCCAGTTGTCCCAAGTTTTTCAGAATTAATCATCACATATAGACAGCATGAGAGTAGGCCTGGCCATCTCGAAGTGATAATAATAATTAAAATGTTTCGCAGATTGGCAATTGATCGGTGTAGTTGGTGTTGTACACACATTATATCACGTTGAACGTGTAATGTAAATATAGTGTGGATACATGCGAATATATATTCTAAATAACTGATAACACACAACTCTTCAGAGAGGTTTACTTTAAGAACGTGCTGGCACGTAAAGGTGACAACATTCCTTTTTCTTACAACTTCCAGACGGTATTTGATGTACACACTCAAGCTGGGTGAGTTTAAACATTTTTTGGTGAAGGAGGGGAGAGACGAGGGAATGGATGAGCGGGGGAGTGGGGGGGGGGGGGGGGGCGGGGGAGACGAGGGAATGGAGGAGCGGGGGAGTGGGGGGGGCCGGGATAGACGAAGGAATGGAGGAGCGGGGGAGTGGGGGGGGGCGGGGGAGACGAGGGAAAGGGAATGGAGGAGCGGGGGAGCGGGGGAGTGGGGGGGGGCGGGGGAGACGAGGGAATGGAGGGGCGGGGGAGTGGGGGGGCGGGAGAGACGAGGGAATGGAGGAGCGGGGGAGTGGGGGGGGCGGGGGAGACGAGGGAAAGGGAATGGAGGAGCGGGGGAGTGGGGGGGGCGGGAGAGACGAGGGAATGGAGGAGCGGGGGAGTGGGGGGGGGGCGGGGGAGTGGGGGGGGGGCGGGAGAGACGAGGGAATGGAGGAGCGGGGGAGTGGGGGGGGCGGGATAGACGAGGGAATGGAGGAGCGGGGGAGTGGGGGGGGGGCGGGGGAGACGAGGGAATGGAGGAGCGGGGGAGTGGGGGGGGGGGCGGGGGAGACGAGGGAATGGAGGAGCAGGGGAGTGGGGGGGGCGGGGGAGACGAGGGAATGGAGGAGCGGGGGAGTGGGGGGGGGGCGGGGGAGACGAGGGAATGGAGGAGCGGGGGAGTGGGGGGGGCGGGGGAGACGAGGGAATGGAGGAGCGGGGGAGTGGGGGGGGGCGGGGGAGACGAGGGAATGGAGGAGCGGGGGAGTGGGGGGGAGACGAGGGAATGGAGGAGCGGGGGAGTGGGGGGGGCGGGGGAGACGAGGGAATGGAGGAGCGGGGGAGTGGGGGGGGGCGGGAGAGACGAGGGAATGGAGGAGCGGGGGGGCGGGGGAGACGAGGGAATGGAGGAGCGGGGGAGTGGGGGGGGGGGGCGGGGGAGACGAGGGAATGGAGGAGCGGGGGAGTGGGGGGGGGAGACGAGGGAATGGAGGAGCGGGGGAGTGGGGGGGGGCGGGGGAGACGAGGGAATGGAGGAGCGGGGGAGTGGGGGGGCGGGGGAGACGAGGGAATGGAGGAGCGAGGGAGTGGGGGGGGCGGGGGAGACGAGGGAATGGAGGAGCGGGGGAGTGGGGGGCGGGGAGGGAGGGAGTGGGGGTGGGGGGAGCGAGGGAGTGGGGGGCGAGGGAGGGAGAGAGCATCTTCTTGATACTGCATGATTCATGCAGCATTATCATTTAAAGTTTTAATGGTTTGATTGATGATAGAAATGTTTGAAATATGATTGGGATTGTTCACGAGGTACTCTATTCTTGGGGGTTTTGGAAACACGAAAACAGTCCATCATCATGTTCATTTCAACTCTAGTTTTTTTGTTTAAAGAGTTTCACTGTGTATTACATTACTTGTTAGTAATTTGACCCCACCTTTAGGGTCCCACTCTACATATACCCGTTTATGAAGCAGGGGGATGAGGGTTATAAACAATTCTACGATTTACTGCCAACTAACATGCTTTACGAAGGTTTGAATTAAAAATGTATATTAATTATAATTAGATTTTGATTTAAATTAATCACGTGATTCGTGCATAATCTAAAGTTACCATAATATGTTTTACAAATCAACCCGATACAGGCTTACTAATCACTAACACCACAACTTACATATTTTGTTAATAATATTATTACTAATGAATATTAAAACAATCAGTAACTAAATTAAAACCATCCAGTTCGACACAAACAAAACTCGTACACGGTGGAGGAGTTCTTGGACATAGCTTACGAACAAGATTACAACTTTAACGATAACATGGCGTACTGTGACGGGTCTTTATATCCAGGTACTGATTATACCCTTTTTTAGTTTTAGTCTTACTTGTCCTTTAGAGTTTACATTAAGTTCTCTTTATATTAAGCTTGATTTCATCTGAATATCATATAATTCAGTTTCTATTTATAGTTAGATAAAAATCTCTGATATAATGATTTAGAGATCTCCCGGGCACTCGGACGGTTTATTCTCAAACCAAAATAAAATGTTTTAACCTTTCCCTCCATTGAGCGCTGATTCAAGCTATCCTACCCACTGTACACGCCAAATACAAAAAAAAGAAAGTTAAGGGTATTATCCAATTGTCCTGGCCGCGGAATTCCACGTGAAATTTCGATCCTCACTATTAGATTTTTTTTAAATTTTCCACCTTTTGCCACTTACTATTTTTGACTTAATTAATTACACATTCAGCGTGATTAATATACAATATTATTATTATTACATATTATATTTCATTTCCCTAGTTACTACGAAGATAATGGCATCAAAAACTATTTTTTTAGTTTTTAGTCCAGAAATTAAAACCAAGCATACATTTTTGTTAATTTCTATCAATCTACTTTTACAACATGTGAGTGTAGAGTGTAGACATAAGATATAGTAATACATTGAGAGTTGAGACATAAATCTGAAAATACGGCTTGCTTTTCCGTAATATATGATACAAAGAAAACTCCATTACGGACCTGAGGAGAGTTAGGACTCCTCCAACTACATTAAATCAATTCCTTCTGTAACGTCCTCAATAAATGTAAAAGATTTGTATTGTTGTAATTAGTTTAAAACTAATCATGATATAGACAAACAGTCAAACACGTCAATCAGTCTGCTAGTGATCATATTAACCATCTATTAATTATTCAGTCTATAAATAAATAACCGATCATGAATCAGCCGTTACTATGACTATGAGCTATCCGTTATAAGTTAGATTTAAGACGTGTGATGACGTAATACGTTTGGTAATTCACCAGATGATGATAGCCAGTTATGAAGGACTTCAGCTTCAGGATTCAGAAATTGTCCCAAAAATTTTTCAATAACTTGAACATTAAAATGAACGGATGCGATAACGAGTCCAAAAGAAGCTTTAAAGCGATTAACCAATTAGCATCAAAATTCGAATGATAAAATCTTCAAATCCAGTGACACAGCAGGTTTTGTGTGGTGGTCTTGAGTCTTGACTGTTGTGACCAGCTTATTGAATACGAAATAATATCAACGTGGTACATTATGTTGAGAAGATAAGTTAATTTTTATCCTGCCAGTCACCTGCTGTGGTATCACTTTTCACCTGTGGTATCACCTTTCACCTGTGGTATCACCTTTCACCTGTGGTATAAACGTTTATTACACCTCGAGTTATTATATCTGAAACGTTGCGTTTTAAGATAAGTGCACAATGTGTGCATTTGTTGCCTATAAAAAAAAGATAACCATTATTAAAAAATGAAATATAACCGAGCTGCAGCTAGACACTTCTTTCTGTTTGACGAAATAATGTTATTTTTATTCCGTTAATTTATTTTAAAACAGTCAAACAAACATTGACATTTTAGAACGAAAAATGTATGCATATTCGATATTAAATAACATTCTGGGGGAAATAAAATCAACTTCGAGTTCTATCTTTATCCTCATTTCATATTCCCAAGCCTTCGAAATTAAATATAATCAAATCATGGCGTTAGAAGGTTATCAATCATGGTAAAATGAAGTTAAGAAGTTATTTGCAAAAACAAAACAAGATTAGAAAAAAAATGTAAATAAGTAAGTTAAAATAGTAAAATTAACAAAACAAAATTGTAAAATCAAAATTATGCCAAATTATTTCATTTCAAACTGAACTTATGATGATAACTCAGCACTTGATAGTATAATCGTCTAACCTTTCTGCACGCATTATTATGAAGAAAAAAACATCGTCAGTGTTGTTGATAGGGATGATCAGCTTGGCTTTAGTCAGTCAAATCTCTAGTTGTTCAGACCTTCAGTCTCCTCTTCGTTTCTAACGAGTCTACACCAGGCAGTAAGTCTTCTCCAGTACCCGACATATCTCCTCCTCAACTCCTCCTTCCTGCAGATCAAGATGACTGGATATAGCACCGCGTATATTAGAGGCAGTGTGAACTCAGTGAACCCCAGAAATACTCCCATATCTGCTATATCTTTATCACTGTAATGCTTCCCCTCAAAGTGTTCAGCGTTGGCAATAAGCCAAAATACGAGTTGGCTGAGAATGTACGCAGCGTTACAGATGAAGAAGAGGAGAGATATGGAGAATATTGTGATTGACACGTGACGGCTGGTGTTTGGCATCAGTGGGGTAACTTCATCCTCTTCTTGTTCTTGCAGTGATCTCCTCAGGTATATAACCTGTATTATCATACAAGTCAGCATGAAAATTGGGGGGCCTAAACAGTAGACAGCTGCAACTATATATAGAAAGGCAACTAAGTAAGGTGTAGTGACCTGGAGGTTCTGACACCTAGACAATCCAGAATCATCAGGTTTGCAATATACAGCAGCAGCTGTCGCGAATCCAGGTATAATGAACCCAAACTGTAAGTAGAGATACAGGAATGATTCAGATGGAAAATCAGGATATATCGGTTTATATTCGCTGACGATTACTGTGATGGCATCTGCAACATGAAGCATCATTATGGCAAAGCAAAGGTAAGTTACAATTTTCCTTAGACGCTGGAAATTGATCCTGTGGAATGGGTTGGAGACATTAATGGTGATGGAGATGGTCATCACGAGATTGAACACCTTGGACCAGTTGACACCAGGGAGGGCAGTTAGCATGTAGTAAACCAAGCTCTTATAAAGAACAGTCACATCAACCAGTCCTGTGTACGCTAGGATACTGATCACTGAGAGTACCAACTCTCCTTGTGCTCTGAGAATGTCAGACAGGGCAATACCCATGAACAGACTTGGAATCAGCTTGTTTCTGTCCTTGTAGTAGTTGATAAAGATGACAATGTTTTGGATCACAACTATCAGACTCAAAGGTATGGTGAGAGGGGATAGGTAGAAGAATGTTCCTTTGAAGACTAGGAAGACGCTGTGGTCAGAAATGTGTTTTACGCTCGACTGGTTCATAATCGTGCTGGTTAAAGGGATATCATGGTTAAATTAATGATGAAGATAAACTTTGCGATCAGCAATTCCTTACTGAACACTCGACAAATCATTAATCAAACTCAAGTTCAAGAGTTTTTTATAGCAATTAAAAGTTAAATCAAATTAAGAAAGTAAAACGGAAATAGTGGACGACGGGCGTGGCACTTAACAAATTGAGCAAATTTTTCGGAAGACAGTCGCTTTTGGTCGTATTACCGACAAATATTCATCAGCTAAGAGACATTACGGGAAGAGGGAGAAAATATCGAACTGTCAATTTTCTGTTAACGTTCTACTCAATCTACTTTTATTATAGTAGTACTATTATACTTTTATATGAATTTGCAAAGAGAAGTGCAATATAAATCTGAAAAGCGTACCATTCTCCCCTTGTATTGGCACATTCTGTGGAAAGATAATTTGTTTCTTCAGAATATCTGAAATATAATTTTTACGTTCATAATGTTCAACTTCTTGGAATTAAAACCTGAAAAGCTCGTCCCACTTCCACTAAATTATATGCAATATTAGTGTACCAAAAATATAAATTAACTCCTCACCTTTACCCGCGTCTACCAAATAACTGGCACTATGACTATATTTAAGTACCGGACGTTCTTACCTCGTGTTTTTTTTTCGTAAACAAGTACTTGAACGCGTTGGCAGTTGGAACGATATAAAATTAAAATCCTGCCACCGCGTTTACTTCAATAGTTACAGGTTCTAATCCGACGTATGAGAGCTACTTCAGCTGGATCTAGATGAGTCATTTTACGGCATACGAAATAAATTTCACCATTATTTTGTCAAGCTGAACGTTGTGGTTACTGTTGTGTTATTAGGTTGACTGATTTATAGCGTATCTGGTGGGTTTTACGGTTTTTAAAATTTTAAAACGTTTACAAATTTTTTTGAAACATTTAAACATCATATACGTTTAACATGTATAAGGATTTGAAAATTGCCATATCTGTTGCTTGATTAAAACTGAAAAATAATGTCAAACTTGATGTTAACAAGCTAAAATAAATTTTGAAGTTCGTATAACGTTATTATATACCATTGATACCACGATAACACGATACCACAATAACAGGGCCAGAATGAAATGAAAAATTTACATCAGCCCCTGGTTACGAAGAGATAAAATAGGAGGTAAAACGGGAAATGGAAAAATTTAGCAAATAATCATTCATTTCACTGCTCAATCCACATATTCACTCAATTCAACAGGGGCTCTATAGAAATTACCATAAACATTACATGAATTCCTTTTAGCGTTCCTATCAAATTGCACGTGTAAATTCTTAGAACATTCTGTGGAAAGTTTGACCAGATAATATTCTCAACAGAAGTTGTGTTTATTTATTAATTCGCTATAGAATCCATAAAGCTGTTTTGTTACCACAGTGCGATACAAAGAATGATATGCAATATAATATAATAAAACAATTACATAGTATATAATTACGAATCAAAACTAATCGTGATGTTTGGTATTCTGTGGCTTAGTAAAACAAGGAATAAAATATCCTGCGTTAAATATGTATATACTATATACTTATAGTATACTATTTATATAGTATATATTATATATACCATAAATATATATATAGTATTATATATATTGTATAGTTGTATATAGCAGTATACTTATACATCTTTCTTGGATGACTTGATGTGTATAAAGTATCTTAAACAACCCTGAAACCAAATTGATGCCTCATCTTGTTCACAGGCGCAGATCAGCGGTCTCTAAACAGCGGTCTCTAAATCTCTAGATCTCCGTTTGTTTGGGGAATTACAAACATTCTATAACTAATTAATCGTCAATGAAATACTAATTAATTTTCGACTAAAAATCAGGTTAAAACCAACTTATCACAGTTCGTAGCTGGGAGTACGTGATAGCAGAATCTTGTGGACACACCGCCTTCTTCCCGGCCGAACACGCTCACAGAATGATAACCATCGAATCTAACGCCTACCTGCAACCCAAAAACCTGCCAATTCTTGTTAGGATATTCAAGGTGTGTAACAAGAAGTTTCCTTGTGTTCCAATTTTCTGTCCTACAGTTTAATTTTGAGTACTTTGAACCTCATTATATAATAATTTCATCAATTTTACTAACCGTCTGTCGGGAAATTCGATATGTTCTAACTTACAAGATATATCCTTGTGGTTAGGTAATACAATTTATGCTGTACTCACTACTGAGCCGGCAGCACTGTGTCCGAGTATTTACATTTGATTGTTTTTGTGTTGTTCTTGGACGGTTTTGAAATCCTGATTCCGACAAAAGATTTAACGTATCCAAATTACAGATCAGTGATCAATTAATGGATTTAGTTCAATATTAACTAATTGATTAACCCTTCAGCTTTATAAACGTGCGTACGACACATTAATTACAAAGAGTGAAGACGGTGTGATTAAGAATCTCTTTGCTGCTGATCACAACAAAAACTACGGTGTTATCTGCTACCTTATCTACAACAACCTGGCTGGGTAATTATATACCAATTAAATGCCAATTAAATACCAATTCAATTTTAGTTTGTCAGGAGTTTCTCCCCAAATCTGGATGTTCACAATGTTATCTGTAAATTTCTAATAAGTTTTACTAATACATTCTAGTAAGGGGCCATCTACTTAGGACGTCCCCAAAATCGCAGATTTTCAGACCACCTGCACCCTCCCCTGGACGTCCGGATTTCCAGCTACTTTTAAGAGTACAAATAAAACCGACTCAAATTCATTGTCATGTCAAAGAGTTGAAATAAATGAGACTTTTTCGTTAATTCTGCACAAATTTCCGGACGTCCGGATTTTCCCCCTGTCAGGATTTGTCCGAAATTCCAAAACCACCCCCCCCCCTCCCTACTTACCGGACGTAGATGGCCCCTCACATCTCTCTATTTTCAGTTCGGCTGACCGAGTAGAAGCTGGAAAGTATGCCAAAATAATGGTGGAACAGTGGGAGACATACTTCGTGAGAATCCCAAAAGAGGACACGGACGGTCTTACGCGGGTTATAGACGACGTTTATCAGAAATATCCCGATATAAAAACTAATCAGAAGTATGAAATGTAGAGGAGGTGTGGGACTGAAAGTGGGGGAGGAGTGCACGCTTGTGTTGTCACGTGATTAATCATAGCTAATTTGGCATTTTACCAAGATTCGAGGATTTTTTCGAAGAAATATCGCGTCGACTATTTTTCTACATTTACATTCGTTTGGGAAGAGTGACAATCACTTTATTATGTACATTAAGGTATTTAGGTATTTATTTTCATCTTGTGTTAAATAATGTTAAATTAGTTCATGTCCTACGATAAAGGTTGAAAATCATGAGGAAAATCAATTTATTTATTCATAACCACAGTCTACTCACAGTGTTACCACCACGTGACCACGTGACCACGTGACCACGTGACCACGTCTTTGCTGGAGGTCACTAAGCTATCAAAACTAGTTCACAACGCGTAGTAAACTATTACTTGCTAGCTCCACTGTGTACAAATACAATATCACAGTCGATATCACCTCATTGTAAAGTCTTCACTCGTTACTGAACTACTAATAAAAGTAACAACATTTGGTCCAGATTTAAAAGCAAGGGATTGTTCACTTATTACGTCTGCCAGCTCAAGAGAGAGTTGGAAAAGTTAACGATAGTGTAATTTCTACACAATATTTATGTATAATGTATAATGTGGATGTGCCTGCGTAATGTGTGAACGATCCCTGTCATTTACCGATTTGATGTGTCCGTGAAAATGTTATTATCAGCCACACGCAATCTCTCATATCTTTGAAGACTACGTTTGTTGTATGCCACAAGTAAGGGCGTTGTTAACTTGTTTGCTACCTAGTTGAGTGTCCTGCTAGTTGAGTGTGTACCACAACCTAGCATCCTGCCTAAACGTTCGGAACTCCCGGACCTATGTGGCAAGCCTGCTCCCTGAACAAAAAATAAAAAATACCGTTATTTAGTTTTGAAACCTTTACAGTTTACTTACATTCTCAGAAATTGTGTTGACAAGGGTTTAATTAAATGTGTGTTTGTTTTTGTGTAATAATGTTAGGGTTACAAGCGTTGTTGTTTTTTCGTTTCACTTTTATTAGTTTACCAATGGAGTAGCGCCACGATCATCAGAATTTGTATGTTTGAGTGATTTTAAATTTCAGATTTGAGTGAGATTAATTTCCCATGATCTAAAGGTTTTGTGATGTATACCTAGAATAATATGTTGTACATCTATGATCTAATTCTAAGCTATTTTATGTTGCTGATCAAAGCTGAATGTTTTTTAAGTTATGGATGAAGAAGTTACTGTTATTGATGGGAAAAACTTACTTTATGTATCAGAATTAAGTTAGTTAGTCATCATTACACATTAGATATTTTATTAGATTAGATACAAAATATGAATATGATATAATTGATGGTGTTGATATTTAATACAATTTTCCTATTGTTATACTTTTATGTTATAGAATAGAGCAGAATTGAAGCCTAAATTATTTACCCTACGAAGGACTTGTGTATGTGGCGATCTTATCTATAAAACCTTCGCTCAAAGTTCAAAGCAAATCTTTCTCTTGTCAATCAGACTGTAATTAATTTCAAACTAAACTTAATCATGTGTGATAGATTACACAATACACAAGATGATATAATATATATCAATGTATATCATGTATAATCTGAGACTTGTCTCTAGCTCTCGGCCTCTCGCTCGGGGACGGGGCTAACCCTAAATTGTAAATAGTAGTGGATAGTATGCAGCTCTTCCAGTTCCAGCCAGTGGCGCGTTATAACTTCACCTAACTGCATGTGCTGGATAGAACAACGTTATAACGAAGGGCCCGACCCCGCTGAGTGGGGGGGGGGGGCAAATCTTCGTTTGATCAAACGAATGTGGGAAAATTTGGAAAACTTAACTGCGGTACTAGAGCTATACTATCCTTACGTACCTGGGGATCTCAGGCTATCATGTTCATAAACATAGAGATTATGTTCATAAACATAGAATAGAGATTAGGCGGAATTTGACAGGCTGAGCGAGTGAGCGCGGCCCAGTAACTGTAAGAGCTATCCCAAGAAATCTTACTGGCTGGCCGTGTTACTAGAGCCAGAGCTGTGATAATTTTTCAATACAATAGCATATTTGTCGTCGCGCGTGATATGTGATATAAAGCCAAAGGTCTGAGGTCGCTGCTCGTTTTACATTTGACGGATGTTACTCGTCTAAATTTCTTCGAAGTAGCGCGCGCCGCTTTCTTCTCGATGGCCCGATGGCAAGAGCTACGAAGTAGCGCGCGCCGGGCCAGATCATTAACAATGGTCAAGTTTTACATGACCATCTGAATTCAGCCAGAGATTCATGACAATCACATTAATATACAAAGTTATAAAGCTGCAACCTTTTATTCGGTCCAAAATCATACTTTTCGGGATAACTCAAAATCTACAATATCCCTAATTTTCCTCCTGTATAACTGGGGAGGAAACTTTATTTTCGAGAGCACTGAGTAGGGGGTGCACCATAAAAATAAACTTGCTCGGATTTAAAAAATTTTTGTACCATTGTTTTCTAGAGACTGTGAAAATTTTCACAGTACCAAATTTGTCATACCTTTTTGGAAAGATCAGTGAGTTTCGTCTAGGTGCCATATTTGATGGTGCGCGGCTTTTGGAGCAAAATTAGCTGTAAAAGTCGCGTAATTTGACCAAATTTGACCAAATTCGTTGATTTTTGTCGTATTATTTGGATATATCTTCAGTTCCTTGAATGAGATCATTCTGAAAATTGGTGACGACCTTCCAATAGGGCTTTCACAACTGTCCGAAAAATTTGGTAGAAATCGGGGTTGATCACAATGCTGGCAAGCATTACCGTCGCCCTTATATTCACAATACTATTTACCCCCTATACTAGTATATCCCCTTTATTGTTTTCCAGGCATTAAGACTCATCGAAAGTAGTTCAGCAGGCATATTTAAGTTCAAAACATTCTAATTCAATGTTAAAGATGACAGGAATAAGAAATAGTTATGTGGAGGTTTTTAAGAAATTTGCGCAAAATACGCGCCAGCATGTTATACGAAATTAGGTAAAAAACCCAAAATCGCCATATTCAGGTGCCTTAAAAACCATGTTAAAATTGAGTTAGAGATATGAAACTTTGCAGGGCGTCTAGACCTTGTCCAAATCGACTGTAAAAAAAATTTCATGTTTCAGGAGTATCGGGAAGTGGGTTTTCTGGAACCCCTGTTTTACAACAGATTGTCGTGAAGTATATATATATATTATATCAACTTAATAACACCAGAATGTGTGTGTGTCTGTGTGTCTGTGTGTCTGTGTGTCTGTGTGCAATTTCCGAACAGTTATACAAAAAAAACGGTAATAGTTACGGGACTGGTTTTTTCGGTATAGTGCCGACAAAACTCTGATGAAGCCCATAAGACAATTTTATAAAAATCGGCCGGTGGTAAGTGGTTTAATTGATGATTTTGTTCCAGAAATGTGACATAAATGGATGGGAGAGAGAACGAGGAGGATAACATGTACCGTAATTAGTTTAGCCCCACGTAATAGCAGAGCTCACTCTTGCGGCCGCTTTGTTTTAACTGTAGGGAGATTTCATACTTTCATAAGACAGCATTATGCGTGATATCAAATATATAATGCGGTTGTATACTTTTACATTGCAACTGTGACAGTAAATTCCCGGCCGAAGGCACGGGTTACACTAGTATATATATACTAGTGTAACCCGGCCTACGGCCGGGATTTCACTGCCGCAGTTAAAAAGGGTAGGAGTAATTACCCGCAGAGTCAAAACCCGCATTAGGTGACCCAATAGTTTCTTAAACAATAATCTCATAATCAGTTATTTCTTGTGGATAATTAAGTCATTATTAGCCATGAGGCACCACACTCCATGATCATAAGGTCTGAACACCGATTATTACACCTCATCACTCCCGTCTTGAACCGCTTTCTATTTTTATTTAAATCGTTATAGAAATTAACCCTTGTTAACTCCGCACCACACCCGCATATTATATTTGAAAACACGCATAACATTGTCGTATGAACTCTCTCTCTCTCTCTCTCTCTGCTGTCCAAACAGACCCCAAACACTAACAGTCCCCCCTCCCCTAATAAGCTTAAGGTATAACATTACAGCAAATCTTCCAGGCTAATCCAATTATGACGCTACTTAAATGCAGCTATAACATATTACACAGTAATGAGAGAGAGAGAGCAAGTCCCGTAACTCTTGCCGTTCTGCTCACGCAATTTTATGTAACATTTGTGGTACAAAACCATCAATTAAACCACTTACCATCGGCCGATTTTAAAAAAAATTTCCTATGGGCTTCATCAGAGTTTTGTCGACACTATACCGAAAAAATCAGTCCCGTAACTCTTACCGTTTTTTTTGTATAACCGACCGGAAATTACACACGGACAGACAGACAGACAGACACACACACACACACACATTCTGGTGTTATTAAGGTGATGTATGTATAGACGCTTTTGCAGTCAATTATAGCCTACATTTAAGTGTCCGTAGATTCAAAAGTATAAAAGATACAGTCATTTCGAACCACAGGTCTTGAAGATAATCGTTTACACTCCAGTTTCCATTATATTACAAAATAATTTAACGTCATCATCATCACTTGATGACGTCATCAAGTTAAGTGTTTTTAAAACTTGGTTTTTAACAAAATAACAACTTTTCAAATCGATTTTAAACCATTAAGGAGTAATTTTATTCAAAATCTGAGGACATTTTCATCTTAGATAATTGTTCAAGCATTCTGAAAATCTACCGGAAAATTTTCCTACCTTGCTCCTTCATAAAGATATTCGCTATTGAAGTTAGTGCTTTTTTGAAGAATAATTTTATAAAAATACAAAAGTTGTGAATTAGTATTCTCTGGTGTTGGGCCATCCCTTTAGTTGTGGAGCTCGATTGTGCTTTCTAAAGGTCTAAATTGTGTTATAGGCTAGTTTTAAAGTTGAAAATCGAAAAGTTGCACACGTGGGGACACGCCCAAATTGATAGAAAATTGCTAAAATTACTGAAAATTGCTGTTTTCACCATTTTTATCAACTTTGGAGTCCCGTTGTGATCCAAGTTCTATATGAAATCTTCTGAAACTTTGCTTGCTTATTAAATTATATATAAAATACTGATATGCAAAAATTTACGGTGATTCAATATTGTATGCGCACGCAAAGTCCGCTCAAAGTTTTGAGTTTGCACGTGCGAAAGGTGAGAATTTTGCTCATTCGTGATCACGATTTCGAATAAATTCTGCTTTCCCGCGATATTTAAATGGAATTATATATGAATTTAATGCCAACTTGAATGAGTAAAAAGTGCCATATTCAGTCAGGTAAAATTTCGAAATCGATGAAATTACCTCCTAATTATTAATATAAATATTAATGAAGTTATGAGTTTACATTTCGGCTTTGTAAATTATCCTGACATTATAATCAAAAAGAGATGATATTTGACCAAAACCCATAATCATGGGTAGAGTGTACCGCTGCCAGTGTCTCTCTTTTCCAAACAAAAGGAAATGATATTAATTTGAATAACCGTCCGCAAATGCAAATTGATACCGAGAATGAAATCGGTCGCTCGCTTTTTCCATTCGATTACGGCTTACGAATTGTAATAAAGCTTATTGATTGGAAAAAGCGAGCGACCGATTTCATTCTCGGTATCAATTTGCATTTGCGGACGGTTATTCAAATTAATATCATTTCCTTTTGTTTGGAAAAGAGAGACACTGGCAGCGGTACACTCTACCCATGATTATGGGTTTTGGTCAAATATAGTAATCAAAATGGGGCAAAATACGCTGCTTTTAGCTGTAACATAATGTCTGATGGTTGGATATGCTTTAAACTTTTCGGACACTTTCCTTGTAAGTCTATGAGTAAGCTTACCAATTTTTGTTGCAATTAGAGGTCGGGAAGGATACTCAATATCAATTTTTTTGAAGAAAATTGTGCTGGCCGAAATTAGCGCTAAAAACCATCCTACAGTCGGCACGCGCGGCTCACTGTCGATGGCGCACTACCTTGTCATACGTTGTATGACCCACCGCGCACGAAGTGCGCGGCTCCCCTCGTATCGTCAGGACATAGTGAAACGACCGTGGGGGTCGCAACGTGATACAAGCACTACCTACACTGAGCAATGAGGCGAGTATTTTGCAAAAATAGGAAGTCTCTATATAATAGTTCATCTCTATTACATATTACATTTTACTTTCAAAGTTGGACCCCCAGCTTGACCATTGTTAATGGTCTGGCCCGGCGCGCGCTACTTCTGGAATAGCTACTTCTGGAATAGCAATTAAACTGCGCGTTTCGCTAGCTCTATAATTGATAATAGAAACACACTTTTTTAAATTTTACCGGCATATCCTCTAAAATCATTTAATTTGTCCAATTTTATTTTTAGGGAGGGGCACTAAGCGCTTCTTCAGCGGGGGCGCCAACAGGCAACGTTCGGATCGGATCACGTTACCAGTTATATCATCAACTGCAAGTTTTAAAAGTTTAAGCGATAAAAATCTTTTCCGGCGCCGCGCACCATAAAATTCCGTTTGTAAAATCGAGCGCTACCACGAAATTTTTCTTAACAGAAGCTGTATACTCATTATGGTTTTAAACAGTTTATTTTATATGTAGTGTTAGTGTCTCTCTGACGTTCTTTTGTTCTTCAAGGTGGTGTGATTTGACTGGGTTTATCAATTTGAATTAAAGTATATTGTAGTGCAGTATATAGTATGGTGTAGTGCTATTGTCTTTAGGTCTATAACAGTGCAGTACAGTACGTCTGTACCCCCACTTGGGTCATTTAATATTAATTTATCCCTCGACCAATTAACGAATAGTTCGGCTCTAGTGGGTAAATTGTTTTAAAACGTGCGGCAATAGTGAATCTATATTAAGTATGATTACCAGGGGTTAATCGAATAATTTTTAACGATTGAGTAAATGTTTTAGGGTCGTCCTAGCTTCAGTTAACTAGATTTGACAAAGATCCAGTCCTCAGCAGTTTGCTGGAGATGTGACTTATTGATGTGACTGTGCCCCACGCTGTGAAACGACCGTGGGGGTCGCAACGTGATACAAGGCCTGCCAGGCAAAAGTTTGTTAGTGTGCGGCCACTTCACAGCAAATAGCCATGATGTAGCTAGCTGATTTAACAATAATTAGGTGTTGTTAATATGGGCAGAAAACAGCTTAAAGTACATTTCCAAACCTGCCGCAATTAAATGTTGCCTCCGCAATGCAGTATTAAAACTGTTTAAAAGTTAACATACGACCTTATATCATATTTTACCTTTAAGTTATTATATTCATAGACATGTCTGAGTGGTTATGTTTTGTTGTTTCACACACACTCATTCCCTTAGCATGTAAAAAAACAACCCTGTAAATATAAGAAAGTATGTTAGAAAGTAGTAACCCCAAAACTACAAACCTAGGACTAAAGGAACTACTACAAAGAAACTGAAACTACTACATAGAAACCAAAATAAGCTAAACATTACACTACCTGCCCTTCAGGGTTAGCTCTCGTTCCGTTCACCTGAATCCTCTATATTTACATCCTTGTTGTATTTACATGCTAAGGGAATGAGTGTGTGTGAAACAACAAAACATAACCACTCAGACATGTCTATGAATATAATAACTTAAAGGTAAAATATGATACCTTATGCTGGTCAATATATCCTTGTTTTTACTTTTGAGGTTCAACTACTCAGGGCCAGGGGGCTGGTGCAAATCTGGTCTTACACTCTTGGTTCTTTTATTTTCCCAGGCTTAAAATCTCATCATATATATTGATTTTAGGTTCATTTGATTTGTTTCACCCCCAACTAACTTAATATCATTACCTGAGCATAATGAATTATAATTCTTACAATTCAAAAAACCCTTCTAGGTCATCATGTTATCAAGACTTCAAGGCCTTGTTAGAGGTCCTGTTTTCAAGACATGTTTTGCCACCCTGCGTACACATGCTCGCACCACCATCCAAACTCCAGTTGCCCGAAAGGGAGCTGTTGAGAAAGACTGGCACTTCTATGGTAAAATGGTATGTATGTCAAACTATGATTTTGTTCAGAAGTAACTGATGATTTAATTTTGGTGTTGAAATATATTGCTAATACTCAACTTACAAATCGAAATTTAAAGCTTTTAGAATGAAATGAGGTATTTATATCCCGCTCATATGGTTAACCATGTCAGAGCGGCTGACTGTGAGTGATATGAGCAAATGTGTAAATGTGAGCAAAAGTATAACTTATTATAAGGCAAAGACAAAATAGGCAAAGAAAAAAATAAAACGATCAAAGAAGTGTTTCATTATTTCTAACATTGTAATCTGCTTTTCAGTTTCTTGCTGGTTCAGCTGTTGTAGGGGGAGTTTCCGTTTGTGCCATTGGTAAGTTGAATGATAATTAGAATTATTAGTTGAACATTCAAATTTGTTTTTCGTGCAGGAACCCTATATTCTTCTTTTCTAAATTAAACAGTATTTAAAATAATTTTCTGTAGATCTAAAGAGTTTAAATTTTATCGAAGATCTTGAGCCTCCATCTAGAAGAGTATTTAGTGTGTGCCTGTTAATTTTGATGCTTTGATAATCCACATTTCTCCCCAATCAGGCTTGAAGCATGATGCCCTTGATGTAGAGGTCAGTGCCCTGGCGCGCTCCATCATATGGCCAGAGTACATCACCAGTAGGATCAAGAGCACATACTTTTACTTTGGACTGGGACTCGCTGCTACCGGAGGTTTGATTGGTCTACTTAAGTAAACTTTTTATGAGTCTATTAATTGTTTACTGCATTATGATTCTTAAAGTAAAATGTAATTTTGACATTATTTCACCACAGGAACTATGGCATTGACAAAGAACTTTACCGGACTCCAAAACATATTAGCCAGACACCCCATTATGGCTATGGTAGGCCTTATTGGAGCTCAGATAGCAATCAATGGAATCCAGCATAGCCTACCCTACACAAGTGAAAACATGATCCCTAAATATATGCTGGCAGCAGGTCAGTGCAGTTGACACAGATTGAATCTTGTCTCAATTCTAGCAAAAACTGGGGATCCTTTCTATGAATTGTTAATGTTGTTTCCTAAAATGAAGAATATATAAAATAAAAATGATGGTTGATTGATGATACAGATTACAGAACGAAAATTTCATTTCATTCAAGTTAACCATAACGCAACTTTTTCCAGGTTTATACGGAATGATAGGCACATTGCTAGGTCCCATGATGCACCTTGGAGGGCCGATGGTGACGCGCGCTGCAATGTACACAGGTGCACTTGTCTCAGGTCTGACGCTTGCCGCAATGACTGCTCCTTCAGAAAAGTACCTCCAAATGTCGGGGCCGCTAATGATGGGATTCGCTGCTGTGTTTGCTGCCAGCGTTGCAACAGCTTTCCTTCCCCCAACTGGTAGGTGTTTGACATTTGTATTAATCATGATATTGTATTAATCATGATATTATTTGATAATCATGATATCAATATAAATACTGACAAACCTCTTCCTGGTCCTACCCTAAATTTTTAACCTCAACCTTAACACTACTCAGCTCATCTCATCTTTACAACTGGGTTAGAGATAAAATCCACAATAATTATCCCGAGTATAAAACTTAATTCTATTAAACCATTCCCCCAGGTACCCTTGGTGGAGGAGTTTACATGATAGCAGTCTACGGAGGAGTAGTCCTCTTCTCCGCTCTAATGCTCTACCAGACACAGTCCATCATCCAACAATGCGAACGAACACCCCACTACATGAACTACGATCCCATATCTGCTAGCATTGGCATCTACATGAGCACTATTAATCTGTTTGTCAGAATACTCAGTATTTTGGCGAGTGGAAAGAAAAAGTGAAGTGTGAGAATTGAGAAAAAGAACACTGTTCTGGAGATTGTTTTTTTGAGTCAAGATCAATTAGAAGGCTTCTGGCAGTTGGGACCAATCTTCCATCAGTGAAGTCCACTCAAACCATTTGCATTCATTTGCTTGATTTTATAGTCTATGGATTTTTGATGAATATTTAAATTCGATGTGCAAAAATAAATGATTTCACCACCTAGCATTTCAGTTGTTTTAAACACTCCTCTTTAAAATATTCATTTATGATTCAAAATTAGATATTGTTGCGACATTTTTGAATTTTCGAGGCTATCACCGCGACCGTGACCCTTTGATTAGCGGGTCGGTCCTTGCCGTGACCTTCAGCTTCAGTCGACGCGACCTTATTGCACTTCCAGATTGTACTGTAAATTAATTAATTATTTCACTGTTTCCATGTAAACTTATGAACTTTCATTAAGGTTTTCTTTAATTGCTACTAAAATGTTGAAAAAGTATTTGAATACCAGAATTGCGTTGTATTATTTGAATTTCTCCTTTAAGACACTGTAAATTCAAAAATCAAAAGTGAACTCTTAACATCGCATAACTGCGTATGTAACTGAATAAAAAAAGGTGTTTAATACAATAGAAAACAAATTCTTGTGCGCAAAGAGGTAAGGACTTATTGAGTCACATTAATTATACTCCTTCTTTTACATTCTTAACAAATGTATCTTCGGTTCACAAAAATAAGTTGAATACAGATTAATTATTAATACAACATAATTTCACAGCAAAATGAAATGAATCAAGCCTTCAAAATGTAGTTGCTACAAAAATAGACTGTAAAGGATAAAGAAAACGACAAAAGAAAGAAAAACGGGTTCCAGGTTTACAAAAGATAAGAAAATTTCAAGGGAAGATAAGGAAGATAAGGAAGATAAGGGGTTAAGATGAATAACGTACAGTTGGATGGGGATCTGTCTCTGTCGTACAATCAGCTCATGTCACTTGATGACGTTACTGTGGATACATTACCGGAGAAAAAGGTTTTGATTTACTATAATTATTTTATTATTATTAGATGTATCATGTATAGTATCATAACTAAATGAAACTACGAATGTTGACAATCAATAATCATTATAGAGTAAAATTATCATACATTTTCCATATAAATAACTTAAAGTAATAGCTAATTAACAGCTATTTTTAATAGTTAATTGATAGCTAATTGATGGTTAATTGATAGCTAATTTACATCTAATTGATCATTAATTATCAGGGAATGATAATGAAGCACACAGAGTACTTGATCCGGTCCACAAATTACAACTCCTCCTCTCAGAGAAGATACACTGATTTTGAAGTCTTCTACGATTTACTCGTCATGCGTTATCCATACAGGTACAATATGATGTCACGTGGTTATCACATGTTATCCTTACAGGTACAATAATATTTGAATATTAGGTCACTTGTTAGTTATTGTGCTGTATAAAAATTTTATTTATTTATTAGTTTGACTACACGACAATTAATGTATCTAAATTTCAGGATGGTACCAAGATTACCCCCTAAGAAGATAGGGATGACGGATCATTTTATCAACGAGCGACGGAAAGCACTTGCCAGGTAACTGTGTTAGTATGTATGAAATTTTGATCAATTTCCATTTTTGCCTTTTTAAACTTTGTTTTTATTCGCTCAACTTACGTAATCAGCTGAGGGGGAGGGTGGGTTGCCAAATGATTACGCGAACGACCCCTAACACAAACATGAACTTAAAACTGTACGTATCACGCGACATGCTACGTGTCGTTCCATGTGCTGTACCACGTGACATGTGCTGTACCACGTGACATGTGCTGGACCACGTGACATGTGCTGTACCACGTGACATGTGCTGTACCACGTGACATGTGCTGTACCACGTGACATGTGCTGTACCACGTGACATGTGCTGTACCACGTGACAGAGACATCTCACAGGTTCCTAAGTATCATCAGCCGGCACCCAGTCTTGCGTAAAGACCCAATTGTACAGTTCTTCTTCACAGTGGAGGTCCACGATTTCCACATACACTTGAAGGTATAAGCATACTGCTTTAAAAAATTAATTGCATTTGTCCAGGTCCCAGGATAGGTTTTAAAACTGTCTTTTATCAAGGACCAATTTGAATCTAGTGCTTTTTACTCCGCAAAAACTATCTTAACCCAGCACAAGCTTAAAAACTATTGTTTACCCAAGACAAATTAAAAAACTGTCTTTCGCCCAGGACAAATTTAAAAACTGTCTTGACGAGTTTGTTACGAATCCTGATAAAGGATAAAATAGAAGAGCAACTAAATGTGGTGTCCGGAGACGTTAACGGAATGAAGACAGAGCTGGCTAACATGTTACAGAGTGTCACTGTCCTGAGGTGAGTTCTAATTGGTCCATCAGGGTCACGTGACTGATTTGTGGATTTATGGCTGGCTTGTATCTGTATTACTTCTATTGTGACTAATTTTGTCCATTGCAAAATGGCGAAAAATTGGACGCATAGCCACTGAGCATCATTTCCAACTTTTCCTTTGCGAGTACCACTCGAACAACCCCACATCTCCACTCTCCACTTTATTTTACCACTTACCGCTCAAGACCCTCTCTTCAGGGATCTCTCGGAGCGATGGGTTAACCGGACCAAAGCGGCAGCATACGACCTCCAAATGTACAGCAACGAACTGTCGGTCCTTGCTGGTGAGGGACAGACTGTGAGCGCGTGGAGTTCACACAAGGGTGATGCTTGGAGCAAGGTGATCACGTAATTAAAATACTTCGATTTGATTGGTTCTTTTTTGGCACGTGATTCAGATGTTTTATGCTGACCATCGGTTTCTATGATCTTCTGTTTGCGGTTATATTAAATCGGTTGTCGGAGATTGTTATTTCAGTTCCAATTTTGCAGAGAAATTTGAAGTTAGATCAGTAATCCTAGTCACTAGATATTAAGTTATTAGATATTTATTAAATATTATTATTAAATATAATATTTATTAAATTAAATGCTAATATAAGTACAGAACACTCCCCCCAGCTGAGAGAAGGAATGCGGGGACTCTCTGCTCAGTTCTCTAATCTATCTGAGCGAGTGGGACGACAGCGAATTGAGGTGAGTGATAGATCACGTGACATCGATTAACCAATCAGTGAATCAGCTTCCAGAATTTGCTGCCAGTCAAACCCCACGACCAATGTTGAATGTAGGAATTCCCCGCAACTGCACCAGTATCCAGATCGATCTAAGTGTAGTTTTGCCTCCATTCCTGTGAACTACTACGAATATATAATAGTTCCCCTGTCTTTTCGAAAAATCGCTACTTGTTAAACCATCTAAAATTCCCTGAGAAACCAGTTGAACCAGTAATATCTCACCAGTATTATCTCACTAGTATTAACTCACCAGTAGTACGAATACCCCCTCCGTTTAAAACGTACTGTAACCATCTAATTCCCTAACCATACCTATTCTCACCAGTATACTTCACATAATACTATATATCTCACCAATATCACCAGATTCGCCATTATCACCTATACCGCGTATTATCTCACATATACTGCATATTACCACATATACTACATAATCCACATCTCATGAGTTATTCCATTACTCACTATTATTCACCATATTTCCTATTTCCCAGTAATCCAACCAATTCACCATATCGCCGTATTATCACCATATACACCTATCGCGATATCATTTTATTCATATTACGCAATTACTCACCTTACTCGCTATATTCACCAATTATCTGCCTATTCTACCATTTACTCACAGAACACAGATATCCACAGTGGTTTATTCCCAGGTATACTACGTATTATTTCCCGTTATTCACGCATTGTACCTAAATCAAACAGTTTCACCAGTATTATCTCGCCAGTATTATCTCACCAGTATTATCACCAGTATTATCTCGCCAGTATTATCTCATCAGTATTATCTCACCAGTATTATCTCGCAGTATTATCTCAGTATTATTTCACAGGAAGATGCAGGAATATTGGAGAACATCGCCCTTCTCCTGGATATACTGCAAGGAGTAAAGGATCTAGTTGATAGGCGAGAGAAAGGAGTAAACAAGGAGCACCAGCAAGCTTTTAGCAGGGTCAGTGTTTTGTTGTGACACGTGACTATGTTTTGTGACACGTGTCACTGTTTTGTTGTGACACGTGATTATGTTTTAGCAGGGTCAGTGTTTTGTTGTGACACGTGACTATGTTTTGTGACACGTGTCACTGTTTTGTTGTGACACGTGATTATGTTTTGTGACACGTGTCACTGTTTTGTTGTGGCACGTGATTGTGGTTCTATGATTTGATTAGTTTATCGCTGTCATGTGTCAAAATAAAGGTGCGCTGCAAACTATTGACAGAATCAAGAAACAGAAACACTTCAGATCCCCAACAAGATAATAATTACAGGTACAACAGTTAAAGAAACAGAAGGGAAGCATTGCAGCAAGTGGACAAGGGACAGGAGCAGGTATTCAAGAGAAAATAGAGCAACAAGAGTCGCTCATCAACAACATTGGTCTCAGGTACCTCCCACTGTTTTATTTTTAGTGTAGATAATCATTTTTATTATTAAATACTTTTCAAATTTTACAGTACAGCAATAAATGAATATAAAATAGAATCGTTCAAAATATTGCCCCATCTGTAAAATGAGATGGGCACCCAAACACGGTAACACATAGTGAACTATGTCAGGTTTTTAAAATAGGATAATGTTTTGATACATTTTTTTTAAATATTGTATTTGATAAATAATTAATGTTGGTGGGGAAATATTTATTATATATTTTTTCACATAGTGCGATTATATTTTGTAGACATGTCACATGTGTGATGATGTGATGTCATAAATTTTACTTTACCCTAATTAACTTAACTTTAGCAATAACTTGGACCCTCCCTATATATCAAATTAATCTAAATCCAAAACTTTATGAAAAACTATATTGAAGAACAAACAAATCAATGTTGAATAACTGTGGATATTTTATAGATAAAATTGGTATTTAAATACGTCAAATTTCAGATACATTAGATACAAATCTGATATGGTCATTAATGTAAATGCAGTGAGAAGGTGTGTGGGGGAAATGTGATATGATGTTGGAAGTATTAAAAAGGAAAAGGTAGATCATAGAAGAAAACATGGGGAGCAAAGAGATTAGGCTAAACTGTTCTGCATTAATTTAATTATAGATAGACTTGGTCGTTTTAAAACTTATTATTAAGCTTCAAAACCTGGCCAATTACAAAGCGTTCTTAAAAACTACTGGTCACTCCTACAGCATGTGGTCAGACACCAAGTCAAGTAATTCTATACTGAAGTATTTCATATTAGAATCTTGAATTACATAACTTTCTGATGAACTGAACAGGATATTCATTTCAGGAATAACTTTTCGGTTCTGTGCTTGCACTGGGAAATGAAGCAACTTTACACGTATCTCTCTCATTTTGGAGTGATCTGGAATTGTTTCGTTAAAACTCAACTCTCAGCCCACAATGATGTAAGTCTTTCCATTTCTCGAAGTTTGTCTGTAATGGAATTTTCTGGCACGCGATCGAAAATACTAGTAACATGTTTATCGTAGTGCGCCGGGCGCATTGGAAGAAGTTGTGATAGCGTCCGCGCGGCGATGCTGGTTATTAATTAAAATTAAATTAGTTAAAATTAATAACAATTAAAATATATGCGCGCTCTTAAAGTAATCTATCAAACCGTTAATAAAACCGTAGATAAGAAGCTAAACTTATTATCTTGTTTACTTTTCAGTTATGCAGCCTGTGGCAAGGAACCGGAAAGTTTACCAGCCTGATGACCTCTGCTCAGAGCAGCGCCCCCATTTCCTACCAATCAGCACAACCGTCCGCTCCCGCACCCTCGTACGGAGGGCCTAGTTTTTATGATATGTAGAATTTTGGTTTACTTTGACAGTTTAAGATACACCATTTCATAGTTTCCTCCTTTAAGGTTCCCCGGAATTGTCCATTAGAATCTACCACTAACACGATTAACCAGATACAATTTGATTAATATAAGTTGAAGGAGGGATTATGATTGCTGTCCTTGAAAACTTCGAACATTTGTTTGTTTTATGTGATCTGTGTTAGTTGATTATTGTTCACTCTAGATATTTAATTAACTTTATACAGTGGTTACAGCGAGACAATGGTTTTTTATCTAATACTTTCGCTTTCGTACGCTACACAATGCACTTAAGGTCACAGAGAGAGCACCACTATGTACTAAATTGTAAATTTCTAGCAAAACATTTCTAAATATATTAATCCTATTCGAAAGGTACTACAAAGGTAAAGAGGCATAAAGTCCTCAGGTACGGCCTTGGGGGAATAAAATTCACTACAATTATTTGCGTGAATCTATATAGTTTGGACCCTGTCGTACCGAACCACATAATACTAATATTATAGCTTCCCTGTTCAAATTGGTTTTAGTAACAGAGACACGAAAATTCTATTGTTCAGGGTGCAGCTGATTCATTTGACCAGGATATTGAATATACAACCTAATATCAAGCGGAAAATGTTAATTTCTGGCGAACCGTTTAGGATAGTATTTGGCGATGGCTCAGTTCGGGACCAGAAGTTTTATTAATTTGATTTTTACTTTATAGGAATACTGTGAAATGTTTTTACGAATTTAATTCTTTTTGAAGATAGATTGCAGAAGTGTATGAGTAGTGTAGAATTAAACACATATGTGATATAATCTGTAGTTTAATTGGGTCGAATATATTTAATTGAACGAGTACCATCTATAGGTTACCGTAATCATTGCAGGTTGTGAATTCGATCTATCTATCTACCGCCCAATTGAGCTACCTATGATATCACACATGAGTTATGTTTTCGATTTTTGTTGTTTTAACGGTACATTTTGTAACTGCCACTAAAATCCTTATCTTTTTCTTGGAGAAATTAAATAAAAATTTGGCTTCAGTCATAAACAATTGTGATAAATTATAATAGAAAAACGGTTCAATCTTTCTGCCAGAGAGGTAGATTAGTCGCTAAAACTTAGATCAATGAACTGAAAATAAACAAAAACTCGATCGAAAAAGCGAGTCAAATGTGTTTAAAGAAATTAGAATTAGTGTTCTGGCATCTCATCATTCGAGTTTTTCTATGTCTTTATCGTCTTCTAAGTCTGGAAGATCTGAAAGATAATAATATTAAAGTTTTCATTGACATTTAAGACTCAGGGTCATGATATTCAAGATCGCGGCTTCCATACAGTTCATAGAATTAACACGTGAATATGGAATATTAACGAAACAATACGATTGTGTATGGCGTAGAATTGGCTAGAGACGAATTTGTTGACATTGAGCACAAAATGTAGATTGTATTACATAAATATGGAAAAATAAAGTAGGCAAGGTGATTGAACATTAATTAAGGGAGTGCAGTGGTTGATTCGAGAAACATTTCAGTTCAATACAGTCGGTAGACTGCCACAATTAAATTGTAGAATGATCGAGATCAAGCCGGAAAAGCGCGCGAGAGCGCGGCATAAGGGATGAGGGTTCAAACTCGGAATCATAGGAATTCATCCGCGCGTTCCGTATTAGTATACATTTTTGCCACAAAGATTGTCGTCTCGTTACAATGATTCAATCGGCAGTCAAACCCCCAGCCAAGAACTTGTTGTGATAATATCATAAGATCAGATACAGGATAATGGCGTCAAAGTTCTGAGCGGTAGATTTAAATGTTCAAGATAATGATAAATGTCACTTTTTTAAACGCTGGACAAATATTTGGATTTGTGGGTTTCTCTACGAAAATCGTGATTCATTACCAATTTTATCTAACTCTTGGAGAGAAAATTAGTGAGTTAATTGGTGAGCAAAACGTACACCACACATGCCAGCATTTGACACAAATCGGTGTTTTATGATTTATCACAATCAGAAATTTGGCATAAATCAATCTACTAACTAACTCAACGTTTAATATTACGGTATAAGTTTAATGAAAACTTATCGATGTAATTATTTAATTAATCAAAATTTACCATCATCATCTGAGTCAGCTATTTCGTCTTCACTACCTAGCTCCGTGCCTCCTATGTTCATATTGTTCATCATGTTCTCCCAGTTTGCTGAAATCAGATCGACCGTCATTGTACTATTATCTGTATATTTATGTATTATTTGTCATCTTGTTTATATTTTGTATCATGTCGTAGATAAATATTTGACATTTTGGGAAAATTTGGAATATATTTAACGTCATATCAAAATCAAATCAAATCAAATCAAAGTAGATAGGTTTTCCAGAAGTGATAGTCGTACACTGATTGGGCTTCAAAATTCATATTTTTTTGTAGTCTTTAGCTTTAAAGTTCCCTAACATTTCCTAAATTTAATAATGCTTAATTTTTCGTCCTAGCGGATGGATTAATGAGGGTGTAATGTGTGATATGAATGGGTCCCAATCCACCATCGCCTGTCTACAATGTAAAGGCTTCATTTGTTTATACATATATTTATACATATATTTATACATATATTTATACATATATTTATACATATATTTATACATATATTTATACATATATTTACATTTTATACACGCATATGCCATATATTTGTATATTTACTGTTCAAATGATCCGCTCATATGCAGGGCGACGAAGAATTAACTGCAAATGTAAAAGCAGTGTTATTTTCTGAGAATCTAGTATGACCCGGAAGTATGTGTGTCCATCTGATGAAGGACTGGTCAAATGTTTGGTCTAATCTTTGGTGTAATCTTGAAAACTGGATTGCGTAAGCGATTACTCATCTAAATTCTAAACGTTGCATCAGCTGGTCAATATTTCGATCTTAAAAATAATGATTTATATACATTTAAAGGAAGGTCAGTTTTTCAAGTTTCGAACAGCCGTTTGTCCGATACGGGTGAGAGCTGAATATCTTTAAAAGATTGAAATTATATTATATTTCAAATGCAGTTAATTAATAATTATCTTTCTCTATGATAATGGATGGATATTTCTCAAATGGTAGGATGTGGGACAAAATTCTCATAGAAGTCTCCAGAACCTGAAGTATCTAAACGCATCTAAGCTTTTGCTGTCACCCCAACCATTTCATCAAACTTCTGATGAAAAAAATAAATGATTTTTGAAACAAATATCATTTGTTGTGAAGGATCCCTCCAATTAACTTCTCCGTGGTTTAAGAACATAAGAATCCTACTTCAGAAACTTTCGTTTTCCAAATTAAGATTGACAAATAAGTTTTTATTCTCATTCAGTAAGGGAAGATAACTTTCCTCGTACTTTTATTTAATTCGATATAAGAATAAGAATTCAACAAAGTCAGATAATAGTAATGACCTAGCAGAGAGAGAAAGAGATAGAGAGAGAGAGAGAAGAGAGAGAGAGAGAGAGAGAGAGAGAGAGAGAGAGAGAGAGAGAGAGAGAGAGAGAGAGAGAGAGAGAGAGAGAGAGAGAGAGAGAGAGAGAGAGAGAGAGAGAGAGAGAGAGAGAGAGAGAGAGAGAGAGAGAGAGAGAGAGAGAGAGAGAGAGAGAGAGAGAGAGAGAGAGAGAGAGAGAGAGAGAGAGAGAGAGAGAGAGAGAGAGAGAGAGAGAGAGAGAGAGAGAGAGAGAGAGAGAGAGAGAGAGAGAGAGAGAGAGAGAGAGAGAGAGAGAGAGAGAGAGAGAGAGAGAGAGAGAGAGAGAGAGAGAGAGAGAGAGAGAGAGAGAGAGAGAGAGAGAGAGAGAGAGAGAGAGAGAGAGAGAGAGAGAGAGAGAGAGAGAGAGAGAGAGAGAGCGGCCTAGCCTTATCAAGGCTGGGTGTTAAAGTATCATAACCCGGTTATATTATATACGGGGTGAGACTCACTGGAACTAAATGTACAAATTGAAAAAATACAGTTCTGAGATAATTTTGAGACTCAAAGACGACCTGAGACCTGAACAACACCACCTGGTCTCCCAGACTTACAAGGGATACAACAGAAAAAGAGCGGACAGCAAAATAGAGAGCAGGAAAGACGGAGCGCTGCTAGCACAACTCAGAGCAGGCCATTGCCTTCACCTGTCCCACTACAAAAATAGGATCGACTCTACAAAGAGTGCAACTTGTCCCCGTTGCGGAGAAGAAGAAGAAACGGTACCACACTGGATTCGGTGCCCTGCAACGATCAGGACGAGAGAAGAAATCTTCGGAAAATCTGACTTAAACTTGGACATTCTAACCACCAACCCGATAGAAATCCTGGCGTTTGCTAAGAAGACTTTGCTTGAGGGACCCTTAGACGCCTAGCCCATCACCACCACCACCACCACAACAGATGAGGCTTGTGACAAGACTTGATTGGCTTGATAATAAATAAACTTATTTGATTTATGAGATTATGAGATCAAAAGTGTTACTAAGACACAGAAATAATTATCTACCAGAATATTTTGTCTCTAAGTCTTTTTAAATCTGAAGCTCACAACAGGGCGAAACTGTCGTATCTGATTAAGTAGATTTTTTGTTGGTTTCGATTCGTCATCTTCTCATGGTAACTAGATCTAGATTGGGCGAGAAAGGGCGCAACTGTCGGCAGCCGAAAAAAAGCATTTGAAAATTTAGATCAAGCTCTACAATATAGGTACAAATTTATCTACCTGATTCATCTTCATCATCGGTTTCGTCCTCATCTTTCCATTTGTTAAAATCAGTTTTGAGAAAGTGGCACTGAAATTATATCACGTTTATTATAAATGTTTTTATTATATGATAAAAGTTTGGGTAACTGTGAACAAAAGACATAACATACCCGAACTTGGTTGAAATTAAACCCATTAAACCAGAGACAAGTTTTAACACATTACACATTTTAAGCATACTTGACATACTTAACATATCAAAGTTTAAACATAATTAACATATCACTTCGAGATAATAATAATTAAATGTTTCGCAGATTGGCAATTGATCGGTGTAGTTGGTGTTGTACACACTGCACTGATAGTGATATCACGTTGAACGTGTAATGTAAATATAGTGTGGATACATGCGAATATATATTCTAAATAACTGATAATTAACATACCTTGGTTTTAGTTTCGATTAGCCTGGGCCAGTAATGTCCCTCTTCAGCCCGAGTCAAACACAGCTGTATGTTGGCGTCTGAGGCTTTCATCTTGTACTTCTAAGGATTAGTACCGTTAGAGAATCCCCCTTGGGGGTTATTCAAATATTACGTAATCAAGTACTAGAGTAATCATTTGAAACCCCCCCCCCACTAGGCCCTCACCCCTCAGTGATTACGTAATATGTTAATGACCCCTTGTGGTTTAGAAGGGAGAAGAAGACGCCTGAACAAAGAGAGTAAAACACAGCAATCTTACACATGCATAGCGAATTATTTTCGACATTATGTACTGAATCATAGGACATAGATAGCAATGATACATGCTGCTTTGCTTGCATAACAAAACTTAACATGCATTTAGCTTAAACTTTAAATAGGTTCGCAGATGCAATCAACCAGGTACTGTTTTAGTATCTCTCCTGCCATATTAACAGGCAGTAAAACTTATCGGACTGCGATGAATGGGGACTTGCCACCCCATGGCATGGCAACATTAAAATATATCGACTCTGTTACATCGCTTCCTCAATAAATTTAATAGATGTGTAGTGTTGTAATTAATAATAATAATAAATTTAATTAGATTGTAACTATATCAAATAATTAAGCCCACCTCACTGTTCACTTCCCCGTACAGCTCCAGATCCAGCACGTATTCTTTGTTGCTCTGCTCGTTCTTTCCACTGGAAAATAGGGTTTCATTGTTCATCAAAGCTTTTCAATGAGTTTATTAAAGTGTTCATAGATCAGATCTATGAACAATACTAGAATTAACATTATGTCTAGTATAGAGGGAAAAAAAGGTTATATAACGATTATTTTGGAATATGACAACTTGCAACTTTTCAGAAATACACCTACAACCATGTATCCATACCAACAAAATAATACAAAATTTACAAACCTAAAAATGATCTTTTTACTTTCTATGTTGAGCTTATAATTTTTAGGGCACTCTCTAACATTTATTGTGAGAAATATTCTGTCCTTTCGCTGGGCCCACAGGACAGCCGGAGCAACCCTGAGACATGAGGACTTAGTAATAAATAGTAATTAAAAGTAAGATTTGTCACATTACTGACACCCCATGTTTATAGTCATTGTTGATTAAGTTTCTTATTACCTCAAAGTAACAATTGGTTGACAGATATTATTATATCTAAACTTATAAACTACACTTACCTCATCACATTAGGTCCAGTCATAAGGAAACCTAAAAATATTGTTAATTAGTCAGGTTTAATATCTAAATTCTAACTATCCAAACAAAATATTTAAGCTATTCAAGCGAGATTTAGTGCATAAATGTCAATATTATACAATTATGTATTATTTCCAAATTTGTTATCAAATTGAAAAACATCGTTAGAAACATCATCAAAAGTTGAAATAAAATGTTTTCCAGTCGCTTTTAAAACATTTAATCATTGGTAATGCTATCATTGCAAACAAATAAAATTCATCATCTAGTCTAGAAAAGATTGTCTACATCTCTTAACTTTAAGTTGGTGTGTCCTTGTACGTTTTTAGGGGCCATTGAAGACCAGAAGGGCTACTTAGATCTCTATTCTGGTATAAACAGGTAAAAAGTGGATCTATCAGTATTCAGTAAAGCATGATAGGTTCACACATCCTCTTTCCGACTATTCAATATCTGGTTAAACCAGCTTGAGGTTTGATAGATAAATAATAGATTTTTAATTTTGTTGCATAATTTGGAAAGTTCGTAAATTCCTTTACAGGGCCATCAAATAGTTTAACTGCCCTTGTTTACAGTACACTGCAATGTAGATGTTCTGAAGGGGTATTCTTTCACACACCCCCTCCTCATTTAACCCTCAATCAAGTTTCCTATCGTTCGTCTGAGTCGACCGAGGATATCGCATAGATCCAATGAATCCTTAGTTACTCCCTAGACTGGGTGACCCTGGAATTCGACCTCTGGACCATCTGCACAGAAGGTCAACCCATAGCATGCAGTCAACTCAGCCGAATGATGGGAAAACTAGGGTTAAGTGAAGAGGGGCCCTGCCAAAAGATAAAAGAATCTTCTAAGGATATATGCGCCTTCAGTGGACTGTAATGTACTAAAGGGGTATAATAGTACTACATCATACTTTAACATTGCACCAGATCACTATGAAAGATTCCACCTCAAGAGGTAATTGTCTGTCAATTCTAAAACATCACACGTAGCTTAGGTTGTGAGGGTAAAGGTGTGTGCCTCATTCTGTTATGCCTGTAAACTTGTCATACGCTTTTATCATAGACTTGGCAATTTGACGTGTCAACTTTGACATTAAACGTAATTAGTGTTCGGAAACCTGATCATGGCAAACCGAGACCGATTAAAGTCCGGGACTTGTCCGGGATCAGTAAGAATGGTATATATATAAATTATTGTTTTCTAACTGAACTTGTTGTTTTCTTGGCTCTCATTAACCACACAGGACACTATACTTAAGCGCGGCGCTCTTTTCGAGAAAAGCGAGCAACAAGTTTATTGTTAATAACCTACCAAGATGCGCGCCAAGTTGGACTCGTCGAGTTAATTAAAATTGGACTTGTCTTCAATTAACGATGTTGTAGCGCGATTTGTAGCGCGATGTGTTACTGGGCCGCGCACTTAATTATGTTTCTCGCAACCGCTAGATCGGCCGCGAAATGCGCTACTGGGCCTCGCCGAGATGCGTCAATTAATAGCGCGATGCACTACATGGCCGCGCATCCAATAATGAATAATAAGTAATGTGTAATGCTTCTTGATTCTTGATGCGCGGCGCTAATCACCGGTTAAATGTTAAACAAAATAAAAAATAATGCTTCTGAGTGTAAATGGTAAAGAATTAATGTTTTTTTAAATTAGTACCTTACATATCAGTCGCTATGCGCGGCGCTCTTTTCGAGCTACTCGCAGATCTGTGAGAGAAGTGATTGCAAAATATGTATTTCCAAAACTGAGTACTGTAACATTATCATGGGAATACTAGTGTAAAATAAGATGGCACCTAGACCAGTCCTCCCGGGCGTACCAATGGTATACAGTGCCTGCTCACAAGTCCTCTCACACTACACACTATACTCTCAGTCGTTCTTAGCGACTGACAACCGCAATAACTCACAATATCTAAGTATTGAACTCTACGTTAATATAACAAATACGATATTCTAGTACCGTACACGGAATTAACAGAAAGGGATACCAAGGTGTTAATATCGAGAATATGAGTCAAATGGGAAATATAAACTCGTTACGAACGCTAGTAGAAACACTAAACTCTTAGAACTTGCACTTACTCTGAATTGACTGAAACACGATCTCCGAGTATCGAAAGCTTACTAATTTACCCCACACGGAAATAGGTGAGGCAACTTTAATTTGAACGGTAAAATGTGGTACAATACGTTCCTACGCTAGTGTTGAACAAGGGAAACAGTTGAATCGATTAATAACGTTCGAAGATGAAATATACGGTTAATTAACAACAATTAACAACTATAAACTGTGGCAATACGGGCCACGCCGGGTTCGTTCCAGATCAGCGGTTAACCCTTATATTGAAAGTTAAACACGTCACCTAAAAAGCTTTTCCAGAACTGACTCCAACGTGTCCAGAACTGCGTTAACGACCCGCGCCACGTGATACCACGTGGTCACCCACGTGGTACCGCGCGGCTCGGCCCAGCCATAATACTATAACAAAACCTACACGCCCGACTAACACGTGCCCTACTTTACACAAATCACTAAACCTAACTACTCTAAATCTACACTAATCCTAACGGTTTTTCTTCACTTAACTGCAATATCCTAACTAAAACATGACTACTAAAAACTGCTTAAAGATCGCTGCAACCAGCCCACACATTACACTATATCCCCCGGGAAGATTTAATCGATTTCGTCAATATCTCCAGGAGGTATTGACAAATTCGACTAAATCCCCCCCTACCTCCTAAATCCTAAATAAATCCTAAAACTCCCTCTTAAACAACACCCTAAAAATAAAAATACCAACAAAATCCCCGTGATGCAACTCACGCGAAAAAAACTACCCTTTAAAAAATTTACACGTGCTACAAAAATATAAAATTTAAAAAATACGTGTACCATCACGTACCAAATCTGAATAATTAAAATTACACGTGACACAATACAAATAAATTATAAAAACTAACGTGATACACTTCACGTTACAAACTTCAACTACTTCAAAATATTTACAAAACTTGCTACCCTACTAACTGTCCTTCTCCTAAACTGTCCCTCCTACTTCCCTTACTTCTTCTGCTGTTCTGTCGAAGTCGTAGCACCGTCTACCATCCACCGTCTCTGTCCACACCACCCGTTGTTGAACACGTCCTCCGCAACCATACTCCTAATCCAGGTACCGTACATCTAGGCACGAACCTACACTTACACCATTATTTCCGTACACCTAGTTACGAACATAACTTACACCATTATTTCCGTACACCTAGTTACGAACATAACTTACACAATTATCTCCGTACACCTAGTTACGAACATAACTTACACAATTATCTCCGTACACCTAGTTACGAACATAACTTACACAATTATCTCCGTACACCTAGTTACGAACATAACTTGCATAATTATCTCCGTACACCTAGTTACGAACATAACTTGCATAATTATCTCCGTACACCTAGTTACGAACTTCACATAAGTCACTGCAGACCGTCATATTTATAGATATGAAGTCAAATCATCTAGATTAAACCTTATCGGCACATGAATATCAAAAGTCAACTAAAGGCGAATCTAGGCATCAGGAGCGATGCTCTACCGGATTTAAAGGTGACTCACACTCTACACTCTACTCTACTCCACGGTTCAACAACTAACTCCACCTCTCGCAAACTCTCCACTCTCCAGGGTAGCAAGCCCTCCTAAAAAAAACACAGACATCACTAAAAATATCAACTGATATCAAGGACACCAGGCATACCCTAAGCACGGCGGGAGATAAGAAATGCAACGATGACCACCTTCCACAGGTACCAGGTAGTCTGCAAAACATGACAACAATCGTCGTATCTGCCCGAGCAACAGGTAGTTAACTGGCATCCCGTGACCAGCAATCCTCTAAAACCCAAGTTTTCTCTTTACCCTCTTCAATACAGCATTAATTCTTGATACCGGTCTAAAGTAATCCGGCCTCTTTAACTGAGCTCTATTTCTTAGAGAACGTCCTCCACTGACTACAGGCGTACTCTGTTCCTCAGGTAAGTAAGCTAGTGTACTGTTACTCTCCCCCAGCTCGACAGGACTTAAACTGTCCTCTATCCCGGATGTAGGTTCCTCAACCCCTCTGCTCCACCCGGGTGTGTAGAAAGATCCAAAACTTGATCCCGTCTCCTGGATCGGTGATGAAATGTGAATCGGAGTGTTAACCCTATCTGGTGTCTGAGGGTCATGTTGGATTGAAATGTCCTGACTTTCCGTTCTGAAAGGAAGTGTATATTCCGGTGATAGAGGTACGTCAGGAATATCAATATTCTGACTAGACAAGGTACTCTCTCGAACCACAGAACTCCCTCTCTCCACATGCTCAGGCATCCACAACTCCTCGTCACTATTGCTATCACTATCCCCACTATCACTTCTCACCGTGTCTCTCATTATCTCATTCTTCCAGCCATGTGCTCCATCACCGATTACTATCTCGCTCCCACTACTACACACTTTGTTGTTCTCTCCCATACCGCACATGACGTTATCTACGTCACTAATCACACCAAAACTATTCTCAGAGGATCCACTAACGGAATAAGCGTTGTGATCACGTGTAACATTACTAGAGGATTCACTAACGGCTGAAGCGTTGTGATCACGTGTAACATTACTGAAGGATTCACTAACGGCTGAAGCGTTGTGATCACGTGTAACATTACTGAAGGATTCACTAACGGCTGAAGCGTTGTGATCACGTGTAACATTACTGAAGGATTCACTAACGGCTGAAGCGTTGTGATCACGCGTAACATTACTGAAGGATTCACTAACGGCTGAAGCGTTGTGATCACGTGTAACATTACTGAAGGATTCACTAACGGCTGAAGCGTTGTGATCACGTGTAACATTACTGAAGGATTCACTAACGGCTGAAGCGTTATAATCACATTCTACGTTACTAATACTATCTAACTCACTAATGGCTGAAGCGTTGTGACTCAGAATGGTATTGACACCCGCAGACCTGGTAAACTCCTCTCC